GGATCTGTTTTGGTGGGTCTCTGCTTTTTGCAGATGATGTGGTCCTGTTGGCCTCATTAGAACGCGGTCTTGCTGGAGAGGTTCGCAGCCGAGTGTGAAGCAGCTGAGATGAGAATCAGCTCCTAAAAACCCGAGACCATGGTCTTGACTTGGGAAAGGGCAGAATGCCTTCTCCGGGTCAGGGATGAGGTCCCAAGTGGAGGAGTTTAAGTATCTCTGGGTCTTGTTCACGAGTGAGGGGAAAGATGGAGCTCAAGATCGATAGGCGGATTGGTGCTGCATCTGCAGCGATGCGGGCGTTGTACCGGTCTGCTGTGGTGAAGAGAGAGCTGAGCTGGAAAGCGACGCTCTCGATTTACCGGTTGATCTACGTTCCTACCCTCACGAGCTTTGGGTACCAAAAAGAATAAGGTCGCGGGTACAAGCGGCCAAAATGGGTTTTGCCACAGGGTGGCTGGGCTCTCCCTTAGATAGGGTGAGAAGCTCGTTCATCCGGTAGGGACTCAGACTCAATCAGCTGCTCTTCCACATCTGGTTAGGATGCCCTCCCGATGCCTCCCTGATAAGGTTTTCTGAGCACGTCCAACCAGGAAGAGACCTAAAGGAAGACCCAGGACACGCTGGAGGGACTATGTTTCTCTGCTGGCCAGGAAACAGCTTGGGATTCCCCCCAGAGGAGCTGGCCTAAGTGACTGGGGAGAGGGAAGTCTGGGCCTCTCAGCTTGAGCTGAGCGGATAAGTGGACGGTAATGAATGGATGAATGGATCGTGGAGTAGAAAGTACTGATTATTGCTTTAAAGTGTAGTACCGTAAAAAAGAAGAGATCACTAGCTTTAGTGATTTTAATAAATAACTAAGAGTATTTAAATATATAAAACTGCTTTTCGTGAGGAAGTGGTCAACGAGACATTTGGTTTCATGTTTAATGTTGCCACCAGCCTACGTGCTGATGTTCTGGTCAGAGAGCTGATTCACTCGTGTCTGAGGTGGAGCAGATGGTTGTGGAGGTGGCTGAATATATTCTACTAACTTATGAGTTTTTAATTCTTTTTCCACAATGATTGTGAAAGAGGCCAAGAAGAGGGCGGAGCTTCAAACATAACGGTGGTCACCTCCCCCAAATATTTTATTTGTTTAAACGAATCAAAATCATTTTTAAAGAATGTAATCGTTCAAGAATTCCAGCTCTTCGATGGGATTTGTGTGAAACAAACTGAAGGTTTTTTTTTCCTGCATAAGGAAAACTGCATCTAGCTGTAATGAAACATTTCACGTGGGGGGAGATTTAAAGATATCTAGAACTAACCAGCTGGAGAAAAGGGTCTAAGACTCTAATCACTCCATCTTTCTACTGACCTCATTTCCCAGGAAGACATGAAAGAGTGACGGCAGAGGTAAAGAAGCCAACGTGAGATGGCCAAGATTAAAGATATCTGTTTTGTTTCTTTCAAGGAATCTGACTGTGCACACGCTCAAGAGTTAGACTTTTGGTTTAATCGCTCAGAAATAGCAAAATGGAGAAAAGCATACAGGAGACTCACAGGGAAACTAAAGATTTTGCAACTTTAGCCTCTTTTCTCACACACCCTCCCTCTTATGATCTTGTGTACTAAAGAGTTTAAGCTGGTTTTGTCAGCATTACACCACTTTTACTTCTTTAGTTTCCACCTTATCACTATTTCTTTTATACCTCCCCCAACGGTTCCTTAAATCAGTCATTCCTCCCACATAGTGTAAACGTTCACTTCCTCTTTAGGCTCTTTGCCAACAGGATTATTTCTTGCAAACACTTTAATTTTTCTTTCTGAGAGGTTTGAAAGTGATCTTTTTACAACAAAATAGAGGAAATGAACCTTAAGTTTCTGTCTTGCTGCATTGCTCCCCCTGCGTCAGTTTCCATTGTAACCATCCTGCATGATTCACTTTTAAACAGAAAATTTCCACCTACAGCCAATCAACCTGACCATAGGAATGAATGTATTTATGCGAGGAGCCACATCAGGCAGTGGGGCTGCACAACAAAGCCTGTGAGCTGGGATTCATCATCACCGGTCACAGCTTCGCAGTAGCAGATGTGGTTTCCAGATCGTAACCACGGAAATAAACAGTCTTTACCACTTAGTTGGAGGGTCTAGACGACGGATTACTGTTTTATGAATTTGTTGCACATTTCGAAATAATTTATTTGGAATATTTTTGTGGAGATTTACGTTTAAACACAAAAAAGTTTGTAACTGATGAAAAAAGTCAAAGTAACATCCTAAATTTGCTGGTTTCTTGTCTAACATGACTGCATAACAAATCAAAAGCATGACTACCTTGTTATATTGGATTGGCATAAGCATTCTGTTTTTACTGCACAACAAATTTGTGTGTGTAAGAAATAATTTTTCCATCCATGAGACAAACGTAACACACGTTGTATCAGAGGAATGCCTTAAACTCATTCTCCTGGTGTTAAACTAGTGGGACATAAAGAGTTAAGTCAGAAAAGATGGCATAATATGGGATGGCTGGGACCTCAAAAAATGTGTTCATATTCCACAAATTTTCTGATGCAAATAACATAGTGGTTACAAAGTCCTCTCATATAGATTGATTGGCTTAATTTTGCAGCTGACTGAAGTTTGACCAGTTGCTCTGCTGTCACAGCTGAGGTCATGGCATTGCAGAGGAAATATTGACTCCCAGTGAGTTGCTTTTAATTGCCAATAGACATGTATCATCATGCAATCAGTTGGTTTTGAATGCACATTTCATCAGTGTTTTAATCAAATTTACAGCCCGTTTAATTACTCTGTGGTATTTTAAAACTCTTCATTTCTATTGTTAAACATGAGGTTACCAGATTTTAGCGCTGGCGCAAAAGGCTCTGCGGAGCACAAATGTTGGGTCGGCTTAAAGAGGGTTCAGATTTCCCCACCACCCAACAAATGTTATTTTCTAACCAAACAGTTCTGGGGGCTTGCTGAGGATTTGGAGGGACTGAGGAGTTGCACAGAAACAATTAACCTCTCAAGGCCTCGTCTCGGATTACATCAGTGTTTAATGCAACCACCAGCCAGCAGATAGTAGGTTTGTGAAAATCTTTTTGTGACATTGTTTTGTTCACTGTTACGGTGGCTTTTTTACATGTGTACAGCATTTGTACAAGTTGTTGGGTAATTACATGAACTGGTGTGCTGTTTATATGTTCACTTAGAAACTCATCTAAACCAATTAAGGCAAAGTCACAGAAGGATCCCATCAAACTGAGAAAGATGCTGAAACGCGATGTGGAATGGTAAACAGCCTGTATTTGTATAGCACCTTCTCAGGGTTCTACAACCCCCAAGGTGCTTCAAAACACATTATGCTGAAGGGTTTTGTTAGCTACCCGGAAGTTACTTTTAGCACTTTCACACTAGCACCATGTGCTCGGAGATGAGCTCATGACATCACAAGCCACAGACCACCCATGTACTCAATCAGGTCCGCATTCCTAAGGCAGTGTGGAATGGACGCGGCCAGGCTGAGGCCGGTGGAGTGGAGTGGAATGGAGCCGTTGCTAGTGTGCAAGTGGTATTTGTGTACCCATAAGAAGCCACCTTATCCTTTTGTTTTACTCTAATATCAAGTAAAGAAAGCTAGAGGCTAACGTTGAGCTAACGGTGAATCAGAAACAGTCGACTCTAAAAGAATCTCAAACTAATTTTTCAATTACCAACAACTCAATATTGCTGGGAAATGTATTCATCTCATCAACTTTCTGTTTATGATTAGCCTTCGCTTGTCATCTAGAATCTTCTGGTGGTGAGCCGTAGCTATAGCCTGGCAAGTCATATGTGCGAATATAGTCTAGCCACGACCCATAGACCGATCTCAGCCAAAGTCCATTGGCGGCTCTTTGTCGTGGGGTTTGATCTACGGTTGTTTTTCAAACTGTTTCCACATGCGATTGGACAATGAAAAAATTAGCCTACATACTCACCGCTTCAAAGGTCAGTCAACAAGGCACTCTGCCATAGACTGTTGAAGAAGATGCAAGTACATCTGGACTTAAGCACCTCTATCTGTTCTTGAGTCCAAAATTATTGCCAAAGCCATTTGAAACGAGCCGTACCAACTTTGTTATTTTGCTCAGTCACAGTATCATCCCACCCGCCAAACTGAGAGAGCGCTGTGATTGGCAAGACAAAAAACTGTTAGAGCCTGCTAAGGCGCCAATGGAGCAAGGCTAGACCAACCTGCAGAGCAAAAGCTTTTTGCTTCTGCTAAGGTTTGTCTATATTTCTAGGCTACTTTAGTTGGCAACAGCCGTCTAAATCACAAATAAATAAATAAATACTAAATAAATAAATAAATAAAGAGTAAGTCACCCATATGTTTAGAAAATGGCATGCAGTAATCAAATTAGACCACACAATGTCATTCTCATTTTATTCTTACATAATATGCATCTTTAAGGCTAAAAAGAAGAAAACAATGAAAAGAAAGTGATTTTTTTTTACATTCAACAGATGACATGCAAACATCGCAAACAATAGTGTGGCTTTCTGGAGAATTGTTCTAATAAAACACCTGGTCACATAAACACTCCACGGCCCTGAAACTCAAGCCCACTGGAGACTCTCCAGACAATGACATCATGTGACCCAATTCCTGCAGATCACTGCTCAGAATCATAAAACTGAGATGAAATGCAGCAATGTTCACTAGAAAAGCCCAGTCACATGAATTAGAGGCATCAACACAATCAGCTCTTAATTGGGATTATTTGACATTTATTGTCAAAGTTGAATTTATTCAAAGCCTCCAGAGCTCTGATACAGGTGAAACATTGATCTAATTTAGTTTTGAGGGTTTTTGTTGTCCGTTTTAAAACCTTTACCCCACCCTATTCCTTTGGGGGTGTGGAGGTGGGGGCTTGTCTGCTTCGCGCGTGGGTAGTCGCTCTCCTCCTTGGACCTCCCTTCTCCGCCTGAAACGAAGCCATGCCCAGATAAATCACTCCCAGCACTCAGTGGTAAGCTGCACTCACTCAGGGGCTGCAGGAGATCTGCAGGAGGCAGACAGGCGCGCGCTGGAACCATACTCTATCAAATAATTACGCACCATTTCTCCTTTTATGCTTATTTTTAAGAGGAACACCTTTAACCTCGTTCTGCAGCTACAAAGCGGCTTGATTTCCCCACGATGTCCGGTCAAGGCACCATAACCGGTGTGCTGGTCGCTCTCTGCATTGGGAGCGCAGTGAACAGCATGCCTCAAGAGACGCGCAAGACTCGGCGTCAGGCGCAGCAGTATCACGCCTCCTCAGTCTCTCAGGGTAAGATTCATCTTATTTTACTGAGTTATATGTTGTTATAAGAACACATTTCACATTTTTAAGATAATTGTAAAAAAATCACGTTTTGCATTCAACTTTATCAACCTAATGATGACATCAGTATTTAATGACCCTAATCAGCCTCAGCTTTGGGTCACAAGACTAACCTTTAACCTGGACCCTTCATCTTCATCCATGTGGAATCTGGAATAATCCAAGATCACACAGAGAATCTTGTCATCGATGTGAAGGATGATAAAAGAGAGCAACAAGATGTTCATGTGATGTGAAGTGGAGCTGTGCCTGGGGTGGGTGGCGGGGGTGAAGAAGAGTGGAAGGCTGATGATTTATGGCATTTTAGGACCTTTGAATGGATTTTACCACTGCTTAAGTTCATGTCACTAAGGGATCATTTTTAAGAGGATGCTTTAAGTCTTTGTTGTTTGATCAGCAGTAGAGATCTGTGTGAGGCTTTGTTTGGAGCGAGAACACTTTCCAATAACTTCATTTGTCTTCCAACAAAAACCTCCCCCACTGTCTGTTTTCTCTAATCCCCTTGTCTCTTCTCTGCTCAGATGGTTGCATAGATAACGGCCACTTCTACAACATTAATGACCACTGGGAGCGTTACTATTTGAGCAACACTCTGATCTGTACCTGCCTCGGCGTTGCTGGGATTGAGTGCAAAAGCAAACCAGACGGTTAGTTTGATTAATTCAACTATTTAATTTTCTCAATTGCATTTTCTCTATTTCACACAACATTCATATTTTATTTTTTGCCACGCAGCTGAAGAAAAGTGCTTTGATAAGCTCAGCCAGAGGTACTACAATGTGGGCGAAACCTTCGAGAGCCCCAAGGATGGCATGATCTGGGACTGCACGTGTATTGGATCTGGGAGGAGCAAGATCAGCTGCACCACTGCCAGTAGGTGTTGCTCTTGCAGCTTCTCTGTTTAGGGGTCACCTCAGACCACTCAGTGCAGTGTTTTTGTCCGTGTGTGTCAATCTGGTGGCAGTAACCCGTTTTATTTCCAGCTGATTATCAACTGGCACCAAGCAGCTGCTTTCAGTCGGATAATGATGAAGATCTTTTATTTCCCCTTCTTTATTACTGTGTTTACACGAGCTTATAAATGAGAGGTATCCAAGATATTTTCCCCTCTATCCAACCAGATCGCTGTCACGAGGGTGGGTCTTCATACAAGATCGGAGACACATGGAAGAGACCCCATGAAACGGGCGGCTACATGTTGGAGTGTGTCTGTCTGGGTAATGGGAAGGGTGAATGGACCTGCAAACCTGTTGGTGAGTCAGTCAGACTGATGACTAATAAATCACTGAATCAATCAAGAATGTATCTGTCAATTCGTGTTTTTTCCCCTAAAATACTGTTAAATATTTTGTACATTTGTATCGTGCACAGATAAATTATCAGTTATTCCAGCTGTAAGTGAGTTTGTAAATGTTGCAGCTGAACGTTGCTATGACAACACGGCTGGAACGTCCTACGTTGTCGGGGAGACATGGGAGAAGTCCTACCAGGGGTGGATGGTAGTGGACTGTACCTGTCTGGGAGAAGGAAGTGGACGGATCACATGCACATCCAGAAGTAAGACCCCCCCCCCCCCCCCCCCTTTTTTTTTTCTTTCATCCATTGTTTTGCCAGTAGTCATTTGATACCCATGTTTGTTGTCTGAGAGTTAAAAATGTATGTTTAAAATCCAGCTTTTTAAAAAACGATACATGTAATAATAATATGGGCAAAAAAAAGTGCTGCTATAAAAGCAGAGAAGAGCAGCTGAAAGTGTCCAAATGCCTAAGCTTAGAGACATTGCGATTCAAAATAGGCTTTCAAGAGTGTCCATGGATGGAAATGAAACTACGTGGGACGATATAACTAGGTAGCCTGGAAAGCCATCCTATAAATGTAAATATATATATATATATATATATATATATATATATATATATATATATATATATATATATATATATATATATATATATGCTGGCCACGGTCCAATAACTGCTCTCTGTCGTGGTGCAGGATCTACAATTGTCTTTCATGCATGCCACTTGATAACAATGTGACCTACTCACCACTACCAATGTCAGTCAATAAGGCAGTCCACTATACCCCATCAAATAAAATATAAATACATTTTGTAAATCAACTGAAGTGCCTCTATCTGCTCTTGAGTCAAAGGAAAGCCCAAGTCAAAACAGTCCAAAGTGAATGCCAATGCTGTTTCAAATGAGCTGTCACCCTTTTTGTTTTCCCACTAACATTCACTCACCAACAGAGTGCTGTGATTGGCCCACCAAACCAATAGAGAGCTCTGATTGGACAGCTACGGATGTCAGTCAACAGGGCAGTCTGCCATTACATCATGGAAGAAGACATAAAACATGAAAAACACAGAAGACAATACATAGTTTTTCTAAATAAACGTGCTGTGATTGGCCAGCCACAATACTGGTCTGGGCTGCGGAGGTATCAATGGAGCATTGCTAGACCGACGTGCAAATTAAAATAATTTTGCCTCGGCAAATGACGGTCTAGATTCGAAGCTAATAGCTAGGTCCCACACCACCAAACAAATGAAAAAAATGGAAGTGTATATCTTGATGCACGTCATATGCCATCATTTTATTTTGCCTTCATTCTGACCTCATGGCAAAAGTTAGAAGTGTGTGAGTGTGTGTGTTTCAGTCCAAATGCAAGACAAAATCAGATTGAATAAGCAAAATAATTATACAATGACCACATTTTAGTGATCATTTGCAGTCTAATTAAAAATTATTTGGATAATCTTTTAAAGATTTTTTTGTTATAATGTTTAGTTTGTTACTGTTGGAGGTTTTCAACAAGTGGTGGTGGAGATGCTTGACAGTTGTGTCTCCAGTTCCGACCGTTTCGTGTGTCCTTAATTATGCCGTCTGATGCAACAAATAATGACGAATGTAAATGCTCATTAGCTTGTTGTTGCTTGACAGACTTCATGGTGACCTGTTGGAGTTAATTCTCTTTTTTTATTTTATTTGATGGAGTTCATCACTACATTCCTCCATGTGCACAAGTTAGAAGCAGTGTTCACGGCACAAATGTGGAAACAGCTGGTGAACAGGAGGGATCACTCCCTACAAAGTAACTGCAAGTCTTTGCAGATAAAATCTGACTGTTAGGGTTTTGTATACGTTGCTCACCACAATACGTGCACCAGATGATGCCGTCGAGTTTCTATCATTTTCACTTTATTTGTCCTTTTTTGTTTAGATCGCTGTAACGACGAGGATACTCTCTCCTCCTACCGCATTGGTGACACATGGACCAAGACAGACGCCCGTAGTCACCTTCTCCAGTGTCTGTGTGTCGGGAACGGCCGAGGGGAGATGAAGTGTGAACGATACTCCTCACTTCACACCACTGGCCTGGGTGAGAACTGATAAAATCCATATCATTTTCCTCTCCCTTCTCACAGCGTGCATGCAGAAGAATGTAAACCAAAGACAGATGTTGGGAGGAGGGAGAGATAAAAAGTGCCAAGTGTCCGAGTGATGACATGAGGAGACACGTGTCCCATGACCTCATGAGTTGGAGAGGCATTGCGTGTGGGAATGGGAGACTGTTGGGAATGTGCAGCGATTAAATGGTATTGTGGGGGTGTGATGCAGAAAATGGATTTATGTAATAAAAAGTTCATTAAAATCAATAGAGAAGCAGCATTGTATCACTTTTTATGACGCATTCTAGTTGATTTTCAGTAGACTAAAAGGCGTGGAACACTGACAATATATTTTTTTATCATCATTTCTAATTATAATCAGTCAGAGTTTTTCATGCAGGCTGAACATGAAAGTAGTCTCCTACACCTATCCTGCATTAGCTTCTGATCGAAAATAGATGGTGAAACTCTAGGATTAGAAAAGCTTTAACCTTCATAGACTCACCCGTATTGTCTCGTGACGAGGAAGGCTGTTGTTAGCTTAGCGTCCAGGAAACATCAGAGAACATCTAGGCTAATAGAAGCTAACTGTTAACATTAGCAACTCCACCACACAGCAGAACACCTCAGGCTTGAGTTTTTTGCAGGGATAAAACATCAATGTCGCAAAGCAAACGGAGTCGGTGGTAGAGTTGTGTTGCTGTTAACTAATCCGAGAAGAGATGTCCAGATGTCAGGAAATAAGACTCCAAATCCTTCCCTGTTGAGCTCTTCTCTGTGGCATTCTGCTAGTTCCTGAAACGAGCTTATCTGAGCTTTTCTTCCCCCGTACGACTTACAAGGCATTCATTATTACTAGAAATCCCTGTAAACGTATTGATTAAATGAGTGTCCCACACCATTAAATATACTTTACTTGTTTGCATATTTATTACTCTTTTAAATTTGGGATGAAACACTTCGTACTTTGATCTTTGAGTTTTATTCCAGTTTAAATTAAAATTGAAGGCTCTACTTGCAACATTTCAAGAAAATGAATGAAACCAGCTCTTTCAACATCATTTCATTTTCAGTTTGATGTATCCAGATTTTCTTGTAGCAGCTTGGGAAATTCTTACATATTTTCTGATTTTATTTCATATTTTTAGGCCACAGCTCTCATGTGATCACCAACATTCAGCCTGCCGTCTACCACCCCATCACTGTGCCTGAGCTGTCCCAGGAGGGAGCCTGCAAAACCGACACAGGACTAGCGTACCATTTTGGACAGCGCTGGATAAAAAACCAGGGAAACACACAGATGATTTGTACTTGCCTTGGCAATGGAGTAAGCTGTGATCACTGGGGTGAGAGCAGGCTTTTTGATTCCCCGAGCCCCACCTTTGGAGGTTTCTCCAGTTAGATTAAAGATCTGTAATGTTCTTAATCAGTAGCTGCAGGTGTTTTCCTAACTTTAATGTTTCAACATCTTCAGGTGGACAGACTGCTGTATATGGTGGAAACTCTGGAGGTCTTCCCTGTGTGTTCCCCTTTGTCCACAAGGGAAAAACCTACCACTCTTGTACTTCTGAAGGACGTAGTGATGGGCAGCTGTGGTGTTCCACCTCATCTGACTTTGATAATGAGCACAAATATTCTTTCTGTACAGAAAAGAATGGTGAGCTCCTGGTGTGACAGACTACTTTAATTGGGACAATGTCCTTAGGAGTTTTTAGCTCTGACGTTTTGAAATTTTCCGTTAACATTACCAAACGTCTGAATTCACATGTTCTTCTGTGTTATTTGGAGTCATGTGGTATCAGGAAGAATTCTAAAAATAATTTGTTTTTGCTGTGTGCAAATGAAAAAAAAATGCATATACGTTTGAGTGAAATTGCAAGGATGCTCAAATTTATTATCTTTTCTTTTTCACAGTCGTCGTGGCGACTCGAGGCGGCAATTCCAACGGTGCTCTGTGCCAGTTCCCGTTCCTTTACAATGGTAGAAACTATACAGACTGTACCGCTGATGGACGGAGGGACGGCATGAAGTGGTGTGGGACCACGGAAAACTACGACGCAGAACAGCGTTTTGGGTTCTGTCCAATGAGCGGTAAGCGAGTGCAAGTAGAAAATCTGTTTCTGCCTGTTTACCAGTTTTATTACTGGTTTAGTAAATTAACTAACCAGATCAACAGTTTAATTTTCTTAATGTTAAATAACCCACCTAGCTAATTGCGGGGACCCTCCCAGGCCCGTTTCCACCATCGGAACTTCTGGGTAATTTTACTGGACCTTAGCAGCAACCAACCTTGTCCCTAAACAGCGGTATGCACTCAGAAATGGCTCGGCAGAGTGGCTGGGTGGAACTTGTGGTTAACTCATAGTGATTGGTTGAACTCGGTAATGATATTGCCTAACAACCGGCATTTGTAAAACAGGAAGAGTTGCTGGTGAAGCAGAATGGAAGGAAAAGAAAACGGGCAGTGTCGATCCTGCTTTAAAAAGCTTTCTAAACTCCCAAAGCTGAAGAATGAAGCGGAACTGCTTCCACAACTCCATCGTTTCGATTGCTTTCTGGTCGTCATAAAAAAAAAAACTAGGCTTCCTCTGGTCATTGAATGCAGCTTTTTCTGTCACACAGCTGCTCTCCCGGGTCCCTTGAATGGATTAAATTACAGCGTACTTTGACAGAATAAAACTTTCAGTGCCATTAATTTGTCCCTAGATGATCAATCATGTCGAGCTTTCCCATCGGTGTCGCCTCAGCTCAGCCCTTGTAGGTTAATTGTGTTCACATCTGAGACATCTGTGTGTTTTCCGTGTGCAGCCGGCCGGATATTTCAGACCTGCTCCCGGCAGTCAGCTTCGTGCGGAGCTTTTTTGCCCTGCCCTCGTGCTTGGAGACATCCACCTTCCCGAGAAGGCTGTGTGAACGAAACCTGGTCACACAGTGGTGGGCCGAGATGGTCTGAGCTAGGCCAGATGTGAAAATGCAATTTCTACTGGAAGGGTCCAACCATATTGAAGTGTTAGAAAAGTCCTGTAAGGGCTGATTGTCTGTGGAAATGCTCAGCAAAGAGGACTGAGTTATCATATTTTCCCCTTCCTAGTAATTTGCCATAACCCCTGTAGTGGAAACGTGGCTATTTATCCCCAATAGGTCATTTTTATCAGGAACACAGGAGACGTGGTCTCATTCGCAACTCTATGACCTTTTATTTACACCACAGCTGCATCTAAAATGTAAGAAATGAGATGAGGTCATTGTTTGCATGAGGTCAGCTCAGATCTGTGGTGAAAAGAGCCGCCTGTCTAACTACCTCACGGGTATTGTTCAAAACAAACACTGATGCTGAGATGTTAATGGTGTTTACACTAGCCTGGGGGGGCCCTCTGACTTCTCCTCCGCCCCCTGCAATCACCCTTAAAGGTTGTTAGCTAAACCGCTGGTTTTGACACACACCTGGGATGGTTGCACATCTGGCACCACGTGTGGCTTCACACTCGGGCCACACTTCCAATTATGCAAGTTCAAACATTTACGTTTTGTGGTCGTCTACCATAACCTAGAAACCAGAAAACAAAGCTGGAGTTTAGAGAATATTGGACTGTCATTAAGAGCTGGTTTGTTTAAAATTCAGCAAAAGTTTAATAAAGTCCTCTATTCCCTGAGCAAGTTGACATATTAAACGTATTCTGTCTAAACAACCGGTTGATTTTGTTTCGATTTGGAAAATATTTGGAGAAAGAGTTTACTCGCTTTTATCATTCTGGTTCTTCAAAGGCCTAAAAGGTCCTCGACTCGTCTGCTTGCATTCCGATAGTGTGTATGCGTGTTTGCCTTTCTGTTTGCCAAATACTTTCACCGTCTCTGCATCTTCAGTTATTTATATTTTTTTGTCTGCCATTCAGCCATCGAAGCCTTATTTCTTCCTCCAAGGATTCCTGATCCAGATGTTTGTTATAATCCACATCATCATCGTTTCAAACGTCAGACATTTTGTGTGACTTGTTAGTCTGTTTTTACACCAAATCCCTTGTTCTGCATTCAGAGTTCATCTAAGTTGAGAAGAGCTAAAAACCTGTGTTCATATTAAACTACTTTCCCTCCATGACTCCCAAAGGCTGGTCTCTGCTTGCCGTGGACAAATTTACAAACTTTCCATCTCTGATTCTCACTTTTTAATTAACTGTGAATATATGGTGACCACCCACAGTCACCCACAAACATCAACACAAGACAGCTGGTTTTAACTGTAAACGTCTTTTCCTTCCCAAGGACAGGTGTTTCGTGAACGTTGGGTTGACTCGTATTTCCTGTGATAATTACAGGATGAGGATCTGTAAAGGAAAGCATCGAGCAAATCGTGGTTTTATTTATGAGCGAAGCGGTTTCATGCAGGATTGTCACAGGTGTGTTAATGTTTGTGTGTTCATGTGTTGTAGCTAACGAAGAAGTGTGCACATCGAGTGAAGGGCTGATGTACCGCGTGGGTGACCAGTGGGACAAGCGGCATGAGGTTTTAGGTCAGATGATGCGCTGCACTTGTGTCGGCAACGGACGCGGAGAATGGAGCTGTGTTGTTCACTCCCAGCTGAAAGGTGTGTGTGGAAAATAAAATACATGGTTTTGTTGTATTTAGCTCATGTCTGTGGATGTTTTATCAATTATTTGCGTATTTGTGACAGATCAGTGTCTTGTGGATGGTCTGACTTACAAAGTTAACCAAACCTTCACCAAAAAGCATGAAGAGGGGTACATGATGAATTGCACCTGCTTTGGACAGGGCCGAGGTCGCTGGAAGTGCGACGCCGTTGGTGAGTCCTTTGCATTTTGCAAATGTCGCTATCCGCGTATGTTTGTTGTTAGACGCTTACGTTGTTCAGCCTGACAGATAATGCTACACGTGATTTTCTCAGACCACTGCCAGGAGCCAGAAACTAAAGCCATCTATCAGATTGGGGAGTCCTGGGACAAAGCCATCCATGGCATCCCGTACAAGTGCTACTGCTATGGGAATGGAGTTGGAGAGCACGGCTGCGAACCCCAGCAGTCATTCCCTGGTAGGACATTAATACCCAAGATTTCTGTTAGCCTAGAAATCTAGACCGTCAGTGGCAGAAGCAAAAAGATTTTGCTCTGCAAGTCGGTCTAGCCACGCTCCTTTGGAACCTCTGTGGCCCGGGTTACTCTGGTGGCTGACCAATCACAGTGTTCTATCAGTTTGGTGGGCGGGATGATGCGACTGAGCCAAACGAAGATGGTGACGGCTCGTTTGAATCGGCTTCGGCATCAACTTTGATCCATTTTGTCTTGGGCTTTTCTTTGAGTCAAGAGCAGCAGCAGCAGAAGATCTTTTATATAGCGCCTCTCAAGATAAAAATCACGAGGCGCTTCACAAAAACACACAAAAAAATGAAAGTATAAAAATATTTAAAAAATGATTAGAAATATGTTTAAAAGGAGAAAACAATATAAGGAAAGGAAAAGAGAAAATGAATGGGAAAGAGGGAAATCAGTGGATCCCGGGAAAGGCGGAATAAGAACAGAATAAGGAGAGGGTGGTGACGAATGTCACGCCAAAGCCAGCTTGAACAAGTGAGTCTTCAGCTGCTTTTTTTGAAGGAGACCACTGAGTCCACTGATCTCAGGCTCAGGGGGAGAGAGATCCAGAGTCTGGGGACCACAGCAGCAAATGATCTGTCACCTTTGGTCGTTAGCCCATTTTAGCAGATTTACTTAATCTACGTATAAAAAGGATGCGTTTTCGTCTTGTTCGATCGTGTGTGGTGGACTGCCCCGTTGACTGACATCTGTAGAGGTGAGTACGTCATGTTACCACGCAGAGACAGTTTGAAAGACAACCGTAGATCCCGCCCCACAACCGAGAACCATCATAAGGTCATGACCAGACTATTCATAGAAGCTGTTTTTACAGGACCATAGCGTTTGCAAAGCGGGATTTGCCACGGCTCCCTGGGGAGGATTTTGGCGTTTATAGTAGCTGAAACTGAAGCTGAATATCAGGCACCTCTCAAACCAAGATGGGACAAAGGGAGGTCGCTGCCCCCCCCCCCCCCCCCCCCCCCCCCGCATTCAGCGTCAGACGGAAGACACGTCAGACTGATGAAATTTCTTTTTCAGGACCTTTAGCTGTGATGTGACCTGCTTTTTGTCCCGCTTGACGCCTCGCTCAGCCAGTGCTTTCACCACTCTGTCGAACAGCTGGCTGTCTCTCACCGTCCCCGTAAAAAGGCGACTAATCTGTTCGTCAGCTCGCAGGGCCAAAAGCTCCATGGTCTCCGCGTCCGTCCAGGTTGCCATGTTGTAGGTGGTTGAGAGATACTAGTGAGAGGCCATGTTTATCTGTGTCCATATCCCTTCTGGCCGACACTCGGTGCGCTGTATACGTCACTAACGCCACCACCCTCTTTTGCGGGGGGGGGGGGGGGGGGGGGGGCTCCCACAGTCGCTCCAAAGGGATTAGCAGGGCTGGCACGCGTTTAGCCGTCAGAGGCGAGGGGCTCATGCGGCTATATTACTACGAGGCTTAGTGCATCCGAATCGAGTTTTATCACCTTTCCCCTTTGCTCCTTGCCGCATTTACGAGACCCACATATTCGGATTTATCACTGTAATGACGCGATGGTCTGTCTCATAAAAGAGGCAAGAGATAGGATGGCCTGCCGGGATAGATTTCTGCAACATTTGTTTCGCATTAAAATAAACAGCGATTATCGTACCATACCTTCGGCTTCGTGTCCTGCTGTGTGGACAGGTGCTCAGACACACGGCCTTCCTCAGATTCCCAGCTGTGGGAGCACATCTGCTTTTGAGAATCTCACTGAACAAAATGCGACTGAGGAAAGCACCCTGACTGCTAAGAATTTGGTATCGATTCATGACAACAAATAAGCTTTAGATCAAATTATGGCATTTTGACGAGTCGGGCGATGGTGAACACTTGCACGACTACATAGTTTAATAACGACTCATCTACTTCTAAGTATGTTGCACCAACTTTACTGACTTGGCCTTTTCCAAAAAGCTGTGGATTTTACAAACTGTGCTTCAACACTTAAAAGGTTTGTTTAAACCACCTTGGAAATGAAGCCTTTGACTTTGATGTAAACCAGACAGTTATGGAAAGGGAGCGTGAGTTCCGCTTTTACAACCCCACCCCCCCCACTTTGAGTCTTTGTTCCTGCCAGCATGTGATTCATCTCCCGTGTTGTTACCACAGCTGCACCAAACACCACAGCCCGTATCATTGGATAAAGCTCCGACACTATTACCTACAAAGAACATGTGCTGTTTAGATTTGCAAACGTCAGCCATCAATTTAAACCGTTTGTATCCAGCCCCATTAGATCAAAGTTATGCATGTCATCTTGTTGGATGGGTTAGCGCATGCTTTTGGCTAGGTTGCATCTCTGCACATCAACAGAATCCTTCCCGTACTTGTAATTTTAGCACAAAGTTCCCCCGGTTTGAGGGATTTTCCTTGAGTCACACAGTTATTTTGACCTTATTTCTTCACATTTTTCCTAAACGAATAAAGTCGAAAGAAAAAGAAAAGAATAACGATCATTTGTCCTACAGATTTACTTTTTTGAGGGATAGCATTTCTAACACCATAAATACATATGACAGTATAGCACCACGCGGGGTCGTAAAACTGTTTAAGTGAAGCCAGATCCCCGTTTGTCAGGTCTTTAGTGAAACGACACTCCCAACTGTTGGTTGTTTGCTGAAGCAGGTTGATGGGAGATACAAAATCTATGGCACTAGGCTGTTGTAAATGACCATAATAGCAACCATCTGTGAATGTGTGTGTGTGTGTGTGTGTGTGTGTGTGTGTGTGTGTGTGTGTGTGTGTGTGTGTGTGTGTGTGTGTGTGTGTGTGTGTGTGTGTGTGTGTGTGTGTGTGTGTGTGTGTGTGTGTGTGCAGCCGTATAAAATACGGAAAACAAAGATTTGGGAGCAACGAGAGTCCCAGACTTAAATTCGGTTTGGTTTGACACCATAAAAGGTTAAAAAAAAAAACCAAGTTAAGCCTTTTTTTCTAAACGTGTTTTCACAGGCCTCTAATTGAGTCAAAACACTGATAAAATCTTAAAGTCTTACATTTTCTGCCATCTGTTTAAATCTTCCCTTGCCTTTAGTGATGTTTAATCTTGAAGGGATAACTTCCGTCGCCGCTCCCCCTTTACTCCTTATCACCGCTAAGCTGCACATCTGTCTGGATGCAGACGTAGACAAAACACTCACTCAGAGAAGCAGAGACGTACAATGTGCATGCATGTGTGTAGGCATGTGCATGAGCAATGCGCTTTAAAAACACACTCTGTCCACTGCAACCATGCATCTGTTTTCCTGCATGTTCCACATGTGATTCTCCATAACCCTTACCCTCACCGGTGGCCTGTGGGTCTGTAATAGCCAGTAATTGGTCCCAGATTGTTTTTGAGGTTTTTGCATTTGCTCGCAGCTTCTGGTTAACCAAGCCACTTGCTCAGAAACTTTGATTACAGGTTTGCTATTTAGGATAAAATGGTTAGAAAACCTCAGTTCTTTATAGAAGCTGGCTTTTATCAGACATCTGCTCACCACATGACTTCTGTTTGCATGAAAGGGGACTTGAGACCCTTTAGATTTTCTTTGAAATCTTTGCAGACACTGAACTGCTAACATGCTTTTTTTCCTGCACATTTAACTTTTTGTTGTCAGTGATGCTTGTTTTTATTTATTTTTCTACAACACACGGAGTAACCTTGGCAGTAAAGTTGTTTCCCCCCTAAAAATATCCTGATCATCTCCTTTAGTTTTGTCATTAAACACAGGAAAAGTAGGATAAAGGTCGTTGGAGGAGTTTCATAAACCCCTGAAGCTAAGTTGAGAGAGTTTTGGTGCGGTAGAGGAGTTCAGGAAGATTCTGTTTGCTGGACAGTGTTAATTGGGCACATTTCGACTTCTGTAAGTACAAGAAATATTTGAAAAGTTGGCGAAGTAGAAGAAAAGGAGTTGAGGTCTTCTCTGCTCTAGGAATGGAAATCTGTGCTGGAATCTCACAGGAACCTGCTAGTTTTACCCCACCCTGCCGGTCTTCTGTTCAAGAACACACACACCAAAATTCACCGTTATTGAAAGAAAATTGGAATTTTTACATTTTAAACCACTGAGCAGAAAATTTGCCAACATTATTATAAATTTCTATTTCACTTAAACCGTGAAAAGGGGTGCAAATGCCTCTAAAATTCATTCTTAATTTAATGATACAAATGAGCCTTTGATAAGGTGTCCATCCCTCTCACAGGTGGCCATCGTCCTGTTCAAGTGATCATAGCAGAATCCGGAAGCCAGCAGAATTCCCATCCCATCCAGTGGAACGCTCCGTCATCAGCTCACATAACTCAGTACATCCTCAAATGGAGAGCGGTGAGTTTTCCGATCAATCAAGGAATCAAAGAAAAACACCATAAATATTCAGTCACTACATATAAAGCTTCCTCTGCTGCACCACAGAAAGACACACACAACCCGTGGATGGAGGTGTTCATTCCCGGCCATCTGAACTCCTACACCATCTCTGGTCTGAGACCAGGCCTCACCTACGAGGGTCAGCTGATCAGCGTGCTTCGGTTCGGGCGCAGAGAAATCACACGCTTTGACTTCACCACCACCTACGGGTCATGTGAGCTGAGAAAACTGATTGATCTAATTACCCATTCTCCAGTTTTGTTTGGTAAGATGTGGACACATTTCTCCACAAAACCTTTTTTTTCTGTTTTCTCTTTCTCCCTCTGCAGTGGCCACATCACAAGGAGAGACCACCCCTCTCCCACCTTTCGTTGGCATCTCAGAATCAGTGACAGAAATCACATCCAACAGCTTTGTCATCTCTTGGGTGTCTGCGTCTGACACCATTTCTGGATTCAGAGTAGAGTATGAGCTCATTGAGCAGGGACAAGGAACGGGGCAACCCATGAGTCTAGGTGAGACTCAAAACATTTATTTATCGTTTGGGTTTTGTGTGCTTCTGAGTTAAGCTACGGCAACAATCAAGCTAACACCTCAACCAGAATGAGAGTCTTTATCCTAGTTTACATGTCTCTTAGAAAACCAAATTATTGAATGAAATGTGTTCAACTTCACAACAGTACATGCAACGTTTTATGTTGGCATTCCGGTTAGTCTATAGCAACACAAATATCAGCAAATGTCAGCAGAATAAAGCAGATGGAGTAAAAGCAGCAAATGCAAAATGGCAGAAGGAATTGATGACGATGTTGCAGCACTGTATATTTGAAGCCTAGTCCACACGTAGCCGGGGTTTTTAAAAACGAATATCCGCCCCTCCAAAAATTTGCATCCACACCACCTCGTTTAAAAAAAAAAAACTCTGTCCACACGTACCCGGATAAATACGTTGTTAAGGACATGCCAGACCTGTAGGCGGCAGTACTTCCCCCGTTCTTAACCTCGTCCTTCATCTGTGGTCTTCCGCAATGAGCAGTAATTCCGCTTGCAAAAACAAACAAGCAAAAAGCGCTTGGACAATTGATAAAGCGAGCGCAGCTCTGAGGGCATCCATGCTGTCGGCTAGTGTAAACACAGGTCGCACACGTGATGTCAGCATTTTTTTTGTCACGGAAAGTGACGTTGCGGACCTTAAAACTCCGGTTTTGTCTGTCCACACGCAGACACCCAAAACGGAGAAAACGCAGATCTTCACTTTGGCCGGAGTTTTTAAAAAGATCCGTTTTCGTGTGGATGACAGGCCAAAACGTAGAAAAATATCTACGTTTTGGCAGATCCCCGGCTACGTGTGGACAGGGCCTGAGACTCGTTGTACTGTTTGTGTTAAAATGTGGTGATGATATTATCAGAAAAGACCCCTTCCACCGCCTTGTCACTTCCAGACGGGGGAGTCCAGGCCGACCGTAGCTTGGCTAAGCTGGTTTTTTGTTCACACGCAGATAAATTTGGATTTCTAACCACATTATCTGGGTAAAAAAGCTTGATTAGCAGTTGTCCAGTTCAGTCAGAGTGAGGGGTTTACATGCATTTGAAAAGTCCAACTTCAGTTGGACTAAAGCAATAACTCGGATTTCTGACATGTTTTGTTTTTGCCCCTCTTTCTACAGATTTGCCCCGAACAGCTACCTCAGTGAACATTAACGAGCTTCTTCCTGGTAGGCGATACAACGTTAATGTTTATGAGATTACAGACGGAGAGAATGACAACCTTATCCTCACGACCTCACAAACAACTGGTGAGTAGGCATCAAAATCAGTATGGCTTCGGTGATAGTGGCAGATGAGATCAGGGCCCACCTTGTAACTGGAGGGTTGCAGGTTTGAGGCCCGCTCAGACTGTTGCACTGGTTGTGTCCTTGGACAAAACACTTGGTCGTAGGGACCGGTGGTGCCTGCGTTTGGCAGACTTGCCCCTGTCAGTGAGCCCCAGGGTAGCCTTGGCTAGGTGGGTGTGCAGTAAAATGCCTTGGGGGGTTGTAGAACCCTAGAAGACACTATTTACAGTCAGGTCATTGTATGTTTTTTTTTTTTTACCTGAACTAAATATTACATTTTCTTAATTTGAGTAAATATTATCTGCAAGTGGGGTAAGCAATTATGCTTGACTAGAAGTCTTAAAACAAGCTCTTAAAATGAGTGTTAAGCGTGCTTGATTGGGCTGTTAGAATTTTTTATACACGGCTTAAAAATATGTTTCATTTATTACAAGGAAAAAACTGGCATTTAGAAAATCTTTACCTAAAATGAGTTTAACGCTTTGTTAAACACTGTTCTAGAATAATTTGCTTAAAGATTTCACAACTTAATTTAGATTTCATGTTAACACAGAAAGCTTACTAGATAAAATTTTCAAACGTGTTTCTTGAATCAACTAATTATATACAAGCTTAAAACTACAACTCAGTAATAATTAGCAAAAGTGGCTGAGAATAAGGTCTCATTTGTTCTAAAAACATAAAAAAGAACCAATTTTATCTTAAACCAAGACCATTTTGTCAGGATTTAGTTGGTGTTGGACTCGTGGAGCAAGTGAACTCTAATGAAAACCAGGAACTAAAGCAAACCACTACTGGTCAAGAAAACAGGACAAGCATTAAGCATTAAATGGTGTCTAAAGCAGTGGAGATAAGAGAAACTGACATTTTAAACTGTGGGATGGTGATTACCAAGTGACAACAGGTGAGCAGATTTGCTGATGAGAAGCAGGTGTGCAGAGTGTGTGACTGGGGAGCTACTTATAAGCTAGAGATTCCAAACATGGCACTGATATTTACTGATAATTTAATAGGTTTCACTCATATTACAGCATACAGTTATGAATTATTGCCTGAGTGTCATTGGACTACACATGTACTCACTAGATGAATTAGAAAGGTTTTAAATGGATGGATGGGATCATAAAATTATTGTTTTGGATAGTTTTGTGTAAATTATCACCAAGCAAGAACTGGCAAATCAAAAAGATGAAATGAAAGATGAATGAATTAAACATGTTTAAAAGTGAATGAGTTGTGCTGTTTGCTGGTTTTTTGTAAAAGGGATTAGGTTTACCACGTGCTTGGAGTCTTTCAGCAATTTATTTATGCAATGTGGGGGGAAACTTCAGCAATTCAAACTTTTGTGTCATTGAAGGTGCAGTATGTAAGAATATAGTGAGAATTTTAGAGTGAGAAAATCCCCAAAAAGTAATATTTCAGTAATTTTGGAAGGAAGGTTTTACTGAAACATATTTCATACTGAGCTGGCGGTGGGCATTGTCAGTTTTTCCCCTTTCAAAACAAAGGAAGGTGGGACGTAACTGCAGTTTACCATCAGTGAGTGTGGGGTAGGCGTGGCTGCTACTGCAGCGCCGACAATTGTAGTTAGACGACGACTGGCAAAAAGCTCCAGAGTTGTTTAAAGTGGTTGCAATAACCAAATTTTACCGCTGGATGCCATTTTTACTTCATTTCTACATAATGCACCTTTAAATCAATTTCTTAAGTGGAGAAATTGATTGAGTGGCAGTACTCTTTTACTCTTAGCTGCTGAAAGAAAATAAACCAGGAAAAACTTGCTAACCTTGCTTGTCAAGGAATGTATATATATATATATAGTATATGTATATATGTATATATGTATATAAATGCATATGTATATATGTATATATATATATATATATGTGTATATGTATATATGTATATATGTGTATATGTATATATGTATATAAATGCATATGTACATATGTATTTATGTATATATATGTGTATATGTGTATATATATATATATGTATATATGTATATAAATGCATATGTATATATGTATATATATGTGTAAATGTATATATATATATATATATGTGTATATATATATATATATATATATATATATATATATATATATATGTGTGTGTGTGTGTGTATATGTATATATATATATATATATATATATATATATATATATATATATATATATATATATATATATATATATATGTGTGTGTGTGTGTGTATATGTATATATATGTGTGTATATATATATATATATATATATATATGTATGTATGTATCTATGTTTGTTTGTTTGTTTGTTTGTTTGTTTGTTTGTGTGTGTGTGTGTGTGTGTGTGTGTGTGTGTCTAAAAAAATTCCTTGACAAGAAAATTGTTGTTACTTTCTTAAAAATCGATCTTTGCAGTCTAATAAAGTTTGAATTTCTCGTAGCACCTGATGCTCCCAAGGAGCATGAAGTGGAAGAAGTGGGAGATACCTCCATCGTGATCAGCTGGGACAAACCGCTGGCTCCCATTACTGGTATGTTTCAGCAGCCCATCTAGTTTAAAGTGTGCTACAATTCTTTTGTGTGTTTCTGTGAAATGTGAACTTAATTTAATCTCTCCATGCAGGCTATCGCGTTGTCTACGCACCCTCAGAGGAAGGAGAGAGCACTGAGCTGACTCTACCAGATACGGCTACTTCTGTGACTTTGAACAACCTTCTGCCTGGGAAGTTGTACAACATCAGCATCTTTTCTGTGGAGGAGAGCCTCGAGAGTGAACCGATTTTTGTACAAGTCAACACAACTGGAGAGCCGCTGCCAGGTGAAAGACCACAGATACTACGGAGCCTGAATGAAGGCGACCAGCACAACTGTCAGTTAAATCTGAATGTGAAAACCAGAGCCCTCATTTATCAACCGTACTTACAAACAGATCTGTGCATTTTTCATGCGTACGACCGATTTTACACATTGTGTGGTGTTAACCTATTTGTACTTGTGCATAGAAATGTTCCTAAATATTAGAACAGCTCTGACCATGCATACGAACCGCATCTAGTGATAGAATGGTGGGGCCGCAGTACCGAAGGTCTCATTCGTCCACACATGTTCCTCATCCATAAAGTATTTTACCCGATGAATAAAAACAGCACTGGACTGGCAGACCGGGGTGGTGGTCCCTTTATTTAAAAATGGGGACCGCAGGGTGTGTTCCAACTGCAGGGGGATCACACTCCTGAGCCTTCCTGGTAAGGTCTATACAGGGGTTCTGGAGAGGAGGGTCCGTCGGATTGTTGAACCTCAGATTCAGGAGGAGCAATGTGGTTTTCGTCCTGGCTGTGGAACACTGGACCAGCTCTATACCCTTAGGGGGATCCTGGAGGGTGCGTGGGAATTTGCCCAACCAGTCTACATGTGTTTTGTGGATTCGGAGAAGGCGTTTGACCGTGTCCCTCGGGGGGCTCTGTGGGGGGTACTCCAGGAGTATGGGGTACCAGGCCCTCTGATACGGGCTGTTAGGTCTCTGTATGACCGGTGTCAGAGCTTGGTCTGCATTGCCGGCAGTAAGTCGGGCTCGTTCCCAGTGAGAGTTGGACTCCGCCAAGGCTGCCCTGATTCTGTTCCTAACCTTTATGGACAGGATTTCTAGGTGTAGCCATGGCGTGGAGGGCATCTGTTTTGGTGGCCTGAGGATCAGGTCTCTGCTTTTTGCAGATGATGTGGTCCTGTTGGCTTCATCAGAACATGATCTTCAGCTTTCGCTGGAGCGGTCTGCAGCCGAGTGTGAAGCAGCTGGGATGAGAATCAGCTCCTCTAAATCTGAGACCATGGTCTTGATTCGGAAAAGGGTAGAATGCCTTCTCCGGGTCAGGGATGAGGTCCTGCACCAAGTGGAGGAGTTTAAGTATCTCGGGGTCTTGTTCACGAGTGAGGGAAAACTGAGTGTGAGATCGATAGGTGGATTGGTGCAGTGATGCAGGTGTTGTACCGGTCTGTCGTGGTGAAGAGAGAGCTGAGTCAGAAGGCGAAGCTCTCGATTTACCGGTCGATCTACGCTCCTACCCTCATCTATGGTCATGAGCTTTGGGTAGTGACCGAAAGAACGAGATCGCGGATACAAGCGGCCGAAATAAGTTTTCTCCAAACAGTGGCTGGGCTCTCCCTTAGAGATAGGGTGAGAAGTTCGGCCATTCGGGAGGGGCTCGGAGTAGACCCGCTGCTCCTTCACATCGAGAGGAGCCAGTTGAGGTGGCTCGGGCATCTGGTCAGGATGCCTCCTGGACGCCTCCCTAGTGAGGTTTTCCGGGCACATCCAACCGGGAGGAGACCTAAAGGTAGAACCAGGACACGCAGGAGGGACTATGTCTCTCACCTGGCCAGGGAACGCCTTGGGATTCCCCCGGAGGAGCTGGCCCAAGTGGCTGGGGCCTTAGGCTACTGCCTCCGCGACCCGACTCCGGATAAGCGGATGAAAATGGATGGATGGATGGATAAAAACAGCTTTTTCACATAATAGGTTCTAAAACCAATAAAAGATGCATGTGACCGAGGCTGCTCGTTGTTGGAGAATTTGCACTCTGGAGGGAACGTGTCCGTGAGCGCGTCGATCTCCCTGAAGGACATCCTTCTGGAGCTTTGCTGTGATTTGTGACTCTTTGTGGAGCGACAGATAAACCGCACAAGTCCGATTCCAGTTCATATTTTACAACTACGAGAATCCTCCAGAACCTCCTCTGCTACCCGATCATTAACACTGCGTTGTCAAGGTAACCAGACTGCAGGACAGCTCAGAAGAGGCTGTTACTCTCAGACATTTCCAAACAAATCTTAACTCCTTACGTTTATTTTATTCCTGACCAAATATGGTTAGTTGAGGGCGTTTCTGTAAGTAAATGACTGAGAACGGGCATGAGCACCTGGGTACACACGGGTGGGATTTACTTTATTTATTTTTATGAATGTCTGATAAACGAGGGCCCTGGATTCTGCTAGCTCTATGAGTTGGTGAAGCATTACCAAAAATGTGTCAGTCCATGAATGACTTTTTTTTCTTTCTTTTTTTTTTTTTTTTTACCTTTAAACATTTCTGACCACACAGGAAAAAGCTCAGGAACTGGAACTGTAATTTATTGCTTCAGTCACAGAAACCCTCTTGAATCAGTCTGCAAGCCATCTTGCAGCTCTAGTATTCTTTAAATTATTCACTTTGCAAAGTTTCCAATTCGCTAATACAAAGAAGAGTTTCTGATGGAAAATGAAGTCACCGAGTTCACAGCTGGTCGCAGTTGTCTTTCTGCTCGACTGGGGTTGTTTCATTCCGCCAAGTGGAACGTTTGTTTGGGCCAGATGTTGCGGAGGGTTTGTGAAAACTCGTTTGTACAGTTTGGGAGATGGATCGAAGATGTATGGCCTTGTTGGGGGAGTGTGATCTCATTTTTGGACAGACAAGTGAACACCATCTGCTGTGAATGGTTTCCTCACATCAACTTTGTTTATGCACAAGTTTGCGATTAGATCCAGATATTTATCCTCAGTCGTCTTGACCCATTTCCAGTTTAGCCCACCTCATTTCTATTTTGTCCTCATGTTGGATTAGATTGAAGTTAATTTAGTCTCCACTGCTGTCTTTATTTGTCTTTTTTACATTCTTTAACGTCTACTTTTTCCCTAAATGTGACAGATTGTTGGTTATCTTCTAAATTTGATTCCCCACCCCTCATTTGCACAGATGAGGTGTCTTCTCCTACAGACCTGCAGTTCTACGAAGTGTCTGACAAAAAGATAGTTCTGTCCTGGTCCAACCCAGACGGTGGCGTCTCAGGTTACCGGGTCACCGTGGTTCCCGTTGATGACTCTGGCTCCCCTCAGAGCGAGTTGACTCTGCCTGTCGGTCAGGACTCATACATCGACGTGACTCACCTGCAGCCTGGAACGCTGTACCGCTTCAACGTTTACACCGTTCACAACGGAAAGGAGAGCTTACCTCTGATTGGAGAGCAAACAACCAGTGAGTTTTATAAATGGCTTCACGCCAAAACTTCTGTGAGATCTTTAGATCTTTAGATTTTCTTTAGATAACTTCTTGGTAGAACAAAACTGTTGCATAAAGAACATGGATTTCAAAGTAGACGTCATATTTTCTTTCCAGGATAAGCAGCCAGCGGTTGTCTCCAAGCGTTTTGGAGATCTTGTCCTGGTTTTTCCACTTTAATTCTTAGTGGCTCAATGCTGAGATCAGAACTCGGAGTGGGTGATGCCATCTGTTGTAGGGTTCTTTGTTCTTTTTTGTTTGTTATGGCTTTGGGCTCAATGTGTCATTGTCATGGTGCAGAACGAATGCGGCTGATAAGACGGCTTAGCACGATGAAAAACACTGAAAATACGTGAAGTGCTTCAGCCTTTACAGGCCACCACAGTGTTGCCATGTCTGTAATGTAAATCAGGGTGTTTGCTCATTTTTAAGTATAACTCTCTGAAATATCTCTGTTTTAGAGCCAGATGCGCCCACGGACATCCATTTCGCCAACGTGAGCGACAGCAGTGCAGTGGTGATGTGGTTCGCTCCCCGTGCCAAAATCACCGGCTATCGTCTCTTCCTGAACATCGAGGGGTCAACCCCCAAACAGCTTCGCCTGCCTGCACGCCTGACAAGTTACACCCTCCTCAACCTGAAACCTGACTCAGAATACACGGTCACACTGCACTCGGAGCAAGACAGCACACTGAGTTCTGGAGAGAGTGCCGTGTTTACCACTAGTGAGTTCATGAACGCCTAGAAACCACCAGGTTTAGTTTTAGTAGAACAAAAAACATACAGTGGTTCCCAAACTGGGGTGCAGGATCCCCAAGTGGGTCCCCACAAGATCACAGGGGGTCCTCACAGTTTTTTCTGTGCTGATGTTGTGAGGTTAGCAAGGTTTTATTTGTAAAAACTGACATTTATAAAAACCCAATAAAACACCCTACAGTATGATCAAACGTCCTTGTAAAAGTTGTAACTGTATAAAGTTTGTAAATGGTCACATTTAGGGTTGAGGGAACCACTGCCCCAGATCATTCATGGAAATGTTTTATTGCTGTATGAAAGCAAATGTAATTTCATAAGAACACACCTTTTTCCTGCTGTGTCTAGACCCATCGATGGGTAACGCTCCTCAGTTCAACACGGATGTGACTGATACCTCCATAGTGATCTCCTGGAATCCAGTTCCCAACATTGGCTACAAGGTAATCCGCAAAAGGAGCCTTTGGATTTTGTCACTGAAATTCTAGAAATGTGTTGCAGCTTGAATGCAACTGTGAAGCAACCCAAGACCTCAGAGATGCATGTGACTGGGTGGAGCATGTTGCATCACATATAAAAATGTTTACTTGGCTTCAGTTTTCTTGGGAATACTGACACCCCCTGACCTTCACCTCCCCTATACCCAGTTTATAGCATTTCCTCCTTCTGACTCTGGGTGCGTTTGTTTTTCAGCTGACAGTCCGGCCCAGCCTGGGTGGGGAAGCTCCGAGAGATGTCGTCTCCGACTCGGGAAGTATTTACGTTTCCGGTCTGACACCCGGAGTTGAGTACACCTACAGCGTGCAGCCAGTCGTTCACGGCCAAGAACAAGGCACCCCAGTAACTCGACGTGTTGTAACACGTAGGTATACAGTACATTTTTACTTTACTTTTCTATTTTTGTCTTCTGCTTCAACTTTTTTTTTCCCCAAACCTCAGCTCTGTCTCCTCCCACTGATCTGAACTTGGAGTCCAACCCTGGCACCGGGGAGCTTGTAGTTCAATGGAACGGAGCGGGTACACCAGGTACACTCTTAAAACTACAAACCAAACGAACGCCAAACATCAACATGTAAATGTCTGACTTTCTCCTCATCTCCTGAAGACATCACAGGCTACAGAGTCACATGCACTCCCACCAACGGGCAACAAGGAAACAGCTTACAGGAGTTTGTGGATGCTGAGCAGAATTCCTGCACCCTGGAAAACCTCCGTCCAGGTGTGGAGTACAACGTCAGCGTTGTCACTGTTAAGGATGACATGGAGAGCTCTCCTGTTTCAACTGTCATCACCCCAGGTGGGTTAAAGTAGTTTCTAATAATAGTCTTTTATTGGGGGGGATTAACGAAGATCTGTGTAAATAAGTCAAAGCTTCTTTTGTTTTGTTTTTGGAACTTATTTTAAACTAACATATCAAATCAAACACTTTCTTTTTTAATTCCTGTTTCATGTTTCTACCGGCTGCCAATGAAGCGGTTTCATTGATTAGCTTGAACAGCTGCTAACATAATTGAGAAGCCAGCTTGCTTTCTCTCTTCCATCAGTTTGATTTGATGTCAAAACGCTGGAAGCGGACAGTTTCTAAAGCCTAACCTCTGCTTTTTACTTTTTCTCTTGTTTCTTTTTTTCCCCAAACGTTTTGCTTCTTTGTTTGTTTCTGCTTTTTGTGCGTGTTTGCCCTTCCCTTTCCCCATCACCGGTCCAGACGTGCCACAGCTGCCCGACCTCACTTTCGAGGACGTGACCGACACAACAATCAGCCTCCGCTGGACGCCGCTCAGCACTACGGCCGTCACCGGCTACAGGGTCACGGTGGTCGCAGCTGGAGAGACTATCCCCATATTTGAAGACATGGTCTCACCGTCCACCAGTCAGTACACGGTGTTCGGACTGGAACCTGGTATCGACTACGACATTAGCGTGACCACGGTTACAGAGAACGGCGAAAGTGAACCGGCTACGTTTACTCAACAGACCTGTAAGATAGTCTTTAAAATGGAATACTTTGTCTAATAAGGGTTGTTCTCTTCAGTCTGATGTTGAATTTTAATAAAACCTGATCCGGCTTCCTACTCTGTCAGCTGTCCCATCACCCACCGATTTGAGCTTTGGGGAGGTGGGACCAGACAGCATTGAGGTCAGTTGGATCTCTCCTCAAGTCCCAAATACCGCCGACATCAACAACTTCTTCATTAGGTACGAAATCAAAGATTGTGTCGACCTTTAGGAACATTTTACTACCTTTCCATCCAGTCTAAAGTTAATTTGTTCCTGCTTTGCAAATAACTCAGGTATCACCCCGTTGACGACGAAGACGAAATTACAGAAGTCAGTGTAGAAGGAGAGACGACTAGTGTGGTGCTAAAGAGTAAGATGCTGCAAGCACAAGAGTTGCAAAACAAGATTCAAACACACTGCTGGCCCCAATGAGATTGTTGTTCTGTTTGCTGTTTTGTAGATTTGCTACCTAACACAGAATACATGGTGAGTGTGGTATGTGTATACGAACAGAGAGAGAGCTCTCCCGTCGTCGGAATCAAGAAAACAGGTGATTTAATATCTGTTGTAGAATTAGTTAATTCGTCGTTTTGCCAAAACATCACAATCTCTTTTTTCCTAACTTGTATCCATCCTCGATTCTCTCCAGCTCTGGATTCACCAGTTGGTCTGCGTTTCTCTGAAATTGTAACCAACCTTTTCACCGTCCACTGGCTCGCCCCGCAAAGCAGAATCACTGGTTACCGCATCCGTTATCAGATGGTCAGTGGTGGGAGGGCCAAGGACGAGCGGCTGCCCCCGTCCAGGAACCACTTCACCGTGACGGGCCTCATTCCGGACACGGAGTATTTGGTTAACGTCTACGCTGTGAGCGGGACAGAGGAGAGCCTGCCACTGAGCGGGACACAGAGAACAAGTATGAAAGAAGGCGTCAGGAAAATATATTTGTATTCTTCTAAAATGTTTTCTTGAAAGTGTTTTAACGGTGTTAAATGCCTTTTTAATGTATTTTTTGGGGTAGTAAGTGTTAAAATAATGTATGACGATGATAATATTGTATGTGTATGTACTTGTTTTCAGGTATTTAACCTTTTTTTTAAACGTCCCTTTTGTTTTTAGAATCTCTTTGGTTCAAAAGTTTTTTTTTTTTTTTTTTAGTTAAGTTTAGGTCAATCCAAAGAGGTTCGAATGAAGGAAACTGGACTTCTTTGGTTTCTTGAAGATGTTTTCTTGTCATCTAAAGAGCTTTGTTATTTCTATAATGCAGCTCTGAACCTAATTCCCAGTTTCAGTCTAGAGCCCATTTCAGATAGACTTTCTGGAATATGTGTGGACAATTCAAGGTTTTCAGATACACCACTTATGTAGGGGGGGGGGGGGGGGGGGGGGGGATCGGACTTATGTTAAGCATAATTCTGCGCACACAAAGATGCATAAGAGACCTGGATGATGAAGCTCAATGGTTAAAGGAATCACTGAAGCGGTGTGAAGCGCTCCGTCGCGCGTCTAGACGGTACCGTAGGAGGTGAGCTGCCATGGTTCGCCGCATGCTACAGCAGCGAGCTATCTAGGTGCGCACAGCGTCCCCCGGTCCCCTCCTCCTCCCCCTCCTCCCTGTCCGGAACTCAACCTCACCAGTCTGAAGCAGCCACCTTGTCTGTAACAAGTCCGGACCTGTTACTAGGGGCGTCGTCCGGTTAAATTACGGAAAACGTTATCCGGATGTTTGTATTCAGACACAAAGGTCTTACGGACAAATTCCGGAACATTTCCATTTTTCATGGCCTGTATAAAAGGGGGCTTAGGTCACAAATCTAATCAAAACAACGATTCCCACACAATAGAACCTAACGACTCCAACGACTCCTAAGGGGGTAGGGAGAGGGGGTATTCATGGGAAGTTTCTGCTCATTAAGTAACAATAGACAGTATAAGCTTGACACTTCTATATTCAGAATTGACAAAGCAAAATGCCCTCAGGAAACCAAAGAAGTCCAGTTAACTTAACTGACTGATCTGCTGATCAGAGTTAATCTTCTTCTTTTACATGTTTTTTCTAGTTTCTGATGCTCCTACTGACCTGGAAGTGCTTGACTCAACTCCCACGAGTATCACCGTTCGCTGGGCCGCTCCTCTGGTCACTGTGCGCTACTACAGGATCACTCACGGAGAGTCAGGTATCCACTGCTTTATAGTATTTAGGACTACAAATTCACAATTTACAAATTTTTTATTAAAAATGAATTTATTCTACTTTTAAATGATCTGTCATTTCCTCACTTTTTTACTCAGGAAGCCACAGTAATCCTAAGGAGTTCACTGTACCTGGCACTCAGTCCACTGCTACGATCAGTAATTTGAACCCTGGCACGGACTATACGATCACTGTCTATGCTGTGACAGGCAGAGGAGACAGTCCTGCATCCAGCATTCCCATCTACGTCATGCACAGGACAGGTGCGGACATGTACACCAATCCAAAAGCATACCATCAGTACAAATTTGGGTGATTTGCTCTGAATTTGGCTTCTTGGCTAAGCTTTTTTGTATTTTCTCAGGTGTTGACTCTCCATCTGGAATGGAAGTGATGGATGTGAAAGACAACAGCATCACAGTGAGGTGGAATCCGGCTCAAGGTCCGATCAAAGGTTACAGGGTGACTGGGAGCCTTAGAAATGGACAGGAGACAACTTTCTCTGAAGAGGTGGCTTCAGGTATGCAGTTCGATTTCAGATTTTTCAGTATGCGGATGCTTGATTTCTGGGTGACATTTTTTTTTGTCTCCAGATCAGACAGAGTTTACGTTTTCAGGCTTGATGCCTACAGCAGAATATGTTTTTAGTGTGTACGCTGTTGGACAGAATGGAGAGAGCTCCCCGATGGTGGTGAACGCTGTGACAAGTAAGAGTTTTACTCGACATCTGAGCGATTTGTGCGATGTTTAACCTGCACAAACTAAAACTCAAATCTCTTTAGACGTTGACCGTCCAAAGGACCTTACCTTCTCGGACGTGGACTCCACTTCCCTGCGGATCACCTGGGACAGTCCTGAGGGAAACGTTACGTCTTACCGAGTCAAATATTTTAGCTCAGAGGAGGGTGAGAGGGAGCTGTGGCCAGCTCCAAAAGGCGACGCTGAGTCGGCTATTATCTATGGACTCCAGCCTGGAACGGAATATACAGTAAAGGTCATCGCCATGCACGACGACACATCCAGCGTGCCAGTGATTGGGACTCAAGCTACAGGTGGGAATTGTTTTATTCCTAATAACAGAAGGTGGAAATCTTTCACATGTCAAAGACCAGGAGCCATATTAGAGATGATAATTGTGGACGTTTGTTATAGAATTTTTCATCGGTATGCAATATTCAAATGTAGACTTACTTTTAGTTTTTGATACCGATGAAAAGAAAAAAATAAATCCTTTAGGTAACCAAAATCACAGATCCCCTATCATGTATACTTGGGATTTAAACATTATCTATGCAAAATATGACAACTTTAACCCCCAAATTCCACTACCTCCGCTCCGGTCCGCCCCCGCCTTCCGCAGCCGCTCGCTTACGAACTCAATTTTTACTGGTACCCGCTCTACAACGGCTCCGCTCCGGTGCGGAGACCTGAGGTGGGCAAACAAGCATGCGCGGGATTTTCGAGATCTTGCGATACAGTCCGAGCAATAAACGCGGAAGTTAGATCCAAACACCCGTTGTGTGGGAGAAGCATCGGCATGAACTCTTTAATCTGCCCATCATTTGTGTTGAGAGATCAGCAGTGTTTGGACCAACAAAGTGTGACTACTTTGATAGTGGAAACTGTATTTATGGCTTACTTTTGTGCATTTAAACTTCAGCCGCCATTGATAGTTGTTAAAAGTTGTTAAACCTGTGCATATGAAACAAAAAACGCCTTTTGTTTATCGATTTATTGTGAAAAACGGAAGTTGTGCTTGCTCCCTTTCCTGTTGGGCTGTTGTGATTTCTATCCATTTACTGCGGAGGTGCTCGGGCGTCCGGCGAAAATAGGATCGATTCTGTTTTTGCCGGACGCCGGAACAGAGGGAGGCGGACTACGCCGCACTGCCGGAGCACGGCCGCAGTAGTGGAATTGCTCTGATTGACTACAACGGGACCGATTTTGCTCCGGCGTTCGTGTCGGAGCGGAGCGGAGCGGAGGTAGTGGAATTTGGGGGTAATTCTTAGCTTGTCCAGGTGTCCCAAACAAACAAAAACATCCCAAAAACTAAACCTCGAATGTGTGATATTTTTACATTTTCAGGGAGGGAACAAGAAGCTGAAGAGTTTAATGTAGAATATGTGAATGGTATGTAAAAGTTGTGTCAATGAAAGAGTGAAAACCGTTACCAATATTCTCTGAAGTTACATTTTAAAGGGCACGTTCACTGAGAAGCCATTTTTTACTGATCATTTTTTAATGTGAAAATAGTCTTCTTCCCCAATTTTCTGCATTAGCTTCTGGTAAAAAAATAGAACGGAAAAATGATGGATTCAGAAAAACCTGACAGATCTACATCACTCTGTCATTTAACATTCATGGACTCACCCATTTTGACGCACAACGGGGGAAGGCTACTGTTGGTTTAGCATCCAGGAAACAGCAGAGAATGTCTCAGTTAGTAGAAGGTAACCTTTAGCATTAGCAACTCCACCACCCAACAGAACTCCTACAGGCTTGTGTTATTTGTGGAGATAAAACAGCAGCGTTGCAAAACAAATGGAGTCAGTGGAAAAGTCGTGTTGCTGTTAGCCAATCAGAGGCGAGATTGTCCAAATATCAGGAAATAAGACTCCAAATCCCGTCTCCGAAGCTACTCTCTCCTCTGAATGACACCTAATTCTTCAACAACTTTTTTCCTCAGAAGGATTTACCGGGGATTCATTCCTACCAAAGACCACCGCAAATGCATTAAAATATGTGTAAAGTTGACCTTAAATGACAATAATGGACATCACTAATAATATTTTTGTTTTGGTTTTTTTCTCCAGGTATTTCTTCCCCCTCTAACCTCCAATTCTCCCAAGTTGGTCCCACATCTTTCATCATGCGCTGGGCAGCACCGACACAGGAAAACCGAATCACTGGCCTCACAGGCCTCACTGGGTATCGCGTGGTGGTGAACCCGAAGGACAAAAGCGGACCCACCAAGGAGATCAACCTGGCCCCGGACAGCACTCAGGCACACATGTCTGGACTCATGGTGAGAAGGAACAAAATCCACTCTGCAGTCAGAGTCATGATGCATAAACATAAGATTGCTGCTGTTTTAGTATCTCTGTCTTTTGAAGGCTCTAATTTCATCTTCCTCAGATTGCAACCACCTATGAAGTCTACGTCTACGCCCTGAAGAACTCTCTGACCAGTAGACCACTCCAAGGAGAGGTCACAACTCTAGAGAGTAAGTCTGTGAAGGTTCTCAGTCATCCAGGTCTTTGTAGTCTAAGGAGCTTTGAAAGCAAAAGCATCTGGACTTCTTTGAGTTGCTTGAAGACGTTTCACCTCTCATCCGAGAGGCTTCTTCAGTTCTAAGGTCAAATGGTGGAGAGTCCCAGATTTAAACCCAGTGGGAGTTTCCCCCTGAAGAGGGAACAAAAGACCCCCTGATGATCTTCTACATAAACACATTGAGGGTGGGTGTGGGTCCTATTCAGCCAGAGTTTTGGGTGAGCTCATAGTGAAGCCTGGCCCCACCCTATCATGTGAATTCCTGAGGTCAGATGGCCCAGGATATGCGTGGGCGTTGAGGCATCTGGGAAGGGATCTCAAAACTGGATTATAGATGGCAGACAGTTGGTGTCGTAAACCACCGCCTCTGTTCAAAGATGGTTGCTCACAGTGGACATAAATGGCTTCCTTTACTCCTCTTTCAAACCATCTGTCCTCTCTGTCCAAAATGTGAACGTTGGCATCCTCGAAAGAGTGACCTTTGTCCTTTAGATGCAAATGAACTGCTGAGTCCTGTCCCGTGGACGTGGCTCTTCTATGTTGTGCCATGCGCTTGTGAAGTGGCTGTTTGGTTTCTCCGATGTAGAGGTCTGGGCATTCCTCACTGCACTGTACAGCATACACCACATTGTTCAGTTTGTGTTTAGGAGTTTGTTCCCTCTTCGGGGGGAAACTCCCACTGGGTTTAAATGTGGGACTCTCCACCATTTTACCTTAGAACTGAAGAAGCCTCTCGGTTGAGAGGTGAAACGTCTTCAAGCAACTCAAAGAAGTCCAGGCGCTTTTTCTTTCAAAGCTCATTAGACTCTAGAGAGTAAGCCTTTAACTTGTTACCTTTTCATGCATTCTTCTTGAACAACATTGTTCCAATAATGATGTTTGGTGTCATTCATCCACATGAAGATATCAGCCCTCCTCGACGTGTACGCATCTCAGGTGTTAACGATTCATCCATCAGTCTGAGCTGGAGGTCAAAGACTGAGACCATCTCTGGGTTCCTGATCGAAGTCACTCCCACCGCCTCTTCCCAAAGCTACGTACCTGTTCAGAGGACAGCTGGACCCGACGCACGCTCCATTACCATTGCAGGTAAATAATCAATCACAGTCTTATAAAATAAACTGAAACCTGCAGGTTGAAAAAATACATTAAACTTTTTAGAAATGTACGCAAATGGATTCAAACACAGCTTTTGTGTTTTTAGGGCTGGAGCCTGGCACCGCTTATAAGATCAACATCTACACGCTGAAAGGAAACGGACGTAGTATACCGTTCACGCTCACTGCGACCACAAGTAATGCTCACGCTTTACTGATGCATTATAACTTGTTCATGCTGCTGAGAATATAATACATTCAGTTTGTTTTCCTAAGCAACAGTTCGCTTGTCCGCCTTTCAGCTCAACCGTTGGTGATCCCACCCACAAACATCCAATTTACCTCCTTGAATCCCACCAGCATCTCATTTATTTGGGAGCCATCGCGCAGCCCAAGGGTCACGGGTTACTATATCACCTATGAGGAGGCTGGAGGTTTGCTTCGAGAAGTCAGTCCCAGACCCCACGCAGGCCAGAGCTTCGCCACAGTTGATGGTGAGTGTTTATAGGAAAATCTAATTCTAATTGTAAATCGTGATAAATATTTCAAACTTTTCCTGACGTGACTTTGTTTGATTGTAGGTCTGAAACCAGGAACAGAGTACATCATTAAGATTGTTGCACTGCAGAACATTTTGAGAAGCACGCCTCTTGTGGGCAAAGCCAGAACTCGTAAGTACAATTAGGTGATATTTTTATTAATTAGGTGAATTCATTAAAAGGAGATGGGTCTTGTTTTCTTTTCTTGTTAGTTTTATAGACTTTTCATGTTTTGTTGTCACAGTTGACATACTGTCAGTCATGAATTAAACAGAATTTGACATACTAAATAAGGTGCTGTGTTCTAGTGACTGCAAAGCTAACTGCTACAAAACTTTCTTAGAAATGTACAGTATTTGGTTTTATAAATAAAAGAATTAACACTCATGTTTAAGCATTGAAGTCTACTCATAATGGTGACAGTATTGCAAGTGGTTAAAGTGACAATTTCAAATCTGCAAAACAAAGTAGTCTCTTAACGATGTTATAATAATAATAATGTAACTATGAATACTTAGTGGAGATGAATAAAAAATGAAATGGTTCTCTCACCTTTGTCTAAAAACATCAGCCAATAACACGGTTTGGTTTGAATCCAACTGTTGAACCAGGTTGACTCTCTCGCTGAAGCACTGCACTTCCACACTCCCCTGGCTCCTCCTTTTGTTACGCACTCACGTTTTTAGCAACAGAACACCTCTGGTGTGAGAGGATCTCCACTCAATAATATCAGAGAAGGAGAAACAGCCGGCTGCTACCACTTCAGCTTTAGGACACTCTACCAGAATCCCAAAAAGAAAAACACCATTTGAAGTCACGGACAACAAAAGATGTTGTCACCTAGAAAACAGTAACTGGAGTTGAGCGCTTCATCTTTTACTCTGGCAACGCGTGTTCCAGTTTCAGGTGGACGATAACCAATGGGCGAGATGAGAGTTCTGTGATCGTTTAAGAGCTAGCTTCTTCTGCAGAATTACCATTGCAGCTTTATCAGTCAGTCTGTAATCGGTGGGTTGTGGCAGAATTTAAATACAAATGTCCTCGCTGCTGCAGTACGCTGAACCTGCGAAATACTGATGTACGAAAGGTTTTCTGCATTTCTCCGTTCATTTATTCCACTTTAAATCAAGCGCCACAATTTCCAGTTAGTGGTTGTCTTGCTCAGCATACAGTGACTATAAAGTCATTCATTCATTAATCCATCCATCCATCTATCCATCCATTCATTCATTCATTCATTCACATTTCTGTCCTTATATCCTCAGAACCAGCTACAGACTACTCCACCATTGATCAGTTGTTGGTACCTGAGCTGCCACAGCTTCCTGTTCCTCATAGACCCAGCACCGACATCCTGGACGTTCCAGAGTCTTTCAATGATAAAATGTAATGATCACATAAATTTTATTAAATCAACTCCTTAACTATCTTCTTATGTTTTGTGGTTATATTCAAAATTGAACTGAAAGCTAGTTGTTCATCCACCTTTTTTCCACACCCAGTTTTGACTCTAACTTCGTCCACCTGGCTGGTACGAGTGGCCAGAACCAACCGGGGCAGCAGGGTCAGCACATCTACACAGAGTACCAGAACTTGGGCCCCAATAATGGTTTTAATGGGCCCTACGGTGGACCTAAAGAGGGTCAGAGACCCACTCTCAGGGAGCCCTTGGTTTATATTCCTGTAGCAGGTCCTGATGGAAACAGAGTACCTCTGGTCAAGGTGTGTGTGACTTGAATTGACATAAATATTTAAATTAAAAGAAACAAATTGCAATGAGTGATTAAAGTCATTGTGTTTGACCCATAGGTGAGTGACAACCCTTTGCCAGGTCTTGCGTTTGGCTTCCCTGACAACGAAACAGACATACCCCAAGAGGCAAAGACTGTCACAACTATTTCCTGGCAGCCGGTCCCTGAGACGTCCGAATACGAAGTGTCCTGCAACCCTGTCACACATCTGGAGGAAAGAGGCTTCCAGGTACTCTCACTAACATTTTTTGTGAGCTTACATCACACATTGAAGAAGAGGCTGACCTGACGTTTCCTTTCGTTCTCCACCCAGATGCGTCTTCCTGGCACCTCCAACAGCGCCACGTTAATTGGACTCACATCCGGAGCATCCTATAACGTTGTTGTGGAGGCTATGAAGGACGGGAACAAAGAGACGGTGCTGGAGGAGGTGGTAACCGCTGGCAACGCGGGTATGGTTCTCACTGGTGGAGGTTCGAGAGCTAAAACCAAACTGATATTTAAACAGTTTTATTTTCTTTCCTTTACTCAGTTCCAGAGGACCTCCCTGTGACCGCCAGCTTGGATGTGTGTTACGACACGTTCACACACACGTACCACGAGCTGGGCTCAGAGTGGGAGCGCATGTCTGAGACAGGCTTCAAGCTGTGGTGCCGCTGCCTGGGGCTCGGCAGCGGCCATTTTAGGTGTGATTCATCCAGTGAGTGGCTTACTAACCCAACTATATTGCGCTTCGCCCAACAAACCATAGAATTACAAAACACCAATAATTCTATGTGACTTACTCAAGAGGAGTTTACAATGATTTCACTCTGCCAGCAGGAGAACCAATAAACAAACACCACAAATTCCTTTGTAAATGTTCCAAAAAGGATGACATCTAGTTGGCGCTGTATGAGCTCAACGATGGAATAATAACATAATGGTTCTGAAATTCCTTTAAAGTTGGTTACCATTTTAGTCATTGTGGATGTTTGAGTGTGGCTGTTGGCAGATCTCTGTACTCTTGTCTTTAAGCTGTGAAAACATCAGTTAGAAGGCAGTAATCAAGGCTAACCTTTGACCTCAGTGATTTGTATTGTCCATTACTGTCCATAACTAATATGACAATACCATGAACTGAGACCATTTGCCTAAAGCCAGGTTCAGTCACTGGCTGACGTGAACATGTAAGGGTCTGACTGATAAACACCCATCTCCTCTGTTATCTCCCTTCCACAGAGTGGTGCCACGACAACGGGAACAACTACCGCATCGGTGAAAAGTGGGATCGCCGTGCGGAGAACGGTCACATGATGAGCTGCACTTGCTTGGGCAACGGCAAGGGAGAATTCAAATGTGAACCCCGTACGTTTGCTCTGGTTCACACAAATTATTGGGATGCATTTTGTTTATTTGTGACCAGTTTGCCTAGCTTAAAAGTCCGTGCACGGTTTTTATTATTTACATATATTTCTCTAGATGAGTCTACTTGTTATGATGATGGGAAGATGTACCAGGTTGGAAAGCAGTGGCAGAAGGAGTACATGGGTGCCATCTGTACCTGCACCTGCTATGGAGGCCAACAGGTAAGTTAACTGCAAGGTTGTTTTTTTCCTGCATTAGCTGCTGAAAGAATATAAATGAGAAAACACTCGGGTCAAAAAAAAGCCACTCATCTATGTCACACGGAAAATTAGCATAAGCGATAAGGCTTTTTCCCTGACAGAGAACAACTCACTAGAGATCACAGCTAATTAATAGAAGGGAATGAGCGATTTAACTTTTTGCTGTTTAGGAACAGGTATTAAGATCAGAGAGCTTTCATCAGTGATAAGTACATGTTTGCTCAAAAGGGCTGGCGTTGTGAGAACTGTAGAAGGCCTGGAGTACACACTAACGTGGAAGCTGACCTCCTGCAGCCTCTTCCCTCAAACGCTTTCGAACGCTACAGAGAAAATGCTCTACGTAAACTGGTCAGTGTAAAACATTTGTCAAAAACATGACCGAATAAATACATTTGTAGTCAGAATTTTTTTAATCTAAGCTGCTTCTCCTTTTTATTTATGTTTCCTTCCAGAACATCCAGTGCCCGATTGAATGTTTAAGTCCAGAGCTGTTGGCAGATGCTCAGAGTCCCTCAGAGTTGGAGAAGAAGTAGAAATAAAGGAGGGATCAAGAAGTGAAGACCCACATGCAATGTCATCACTTCAAGAAGGGCAATTCCTTCAGGTGCTTTTAAACACCCCTTCAGATTGGTGCCTTTAAAGGTTTTTCACCACAAGGTGGCGTGCCTTACAATCCGTGCCTCAACCAAAATCTGCTCAACTTTTTAGCTGGGTTTGATCCACATCCGTCCAACTGAAAAAAAAAAGTTTCATTGCTGGATTTGTTTTCTTTAAACCAGGGGCGTGTCTAGGGAGTGGCCTAGGGTAGCACACGCCACCTTTGGAAACTGACTGGCAACCCTAAGTGCCACCCCACTGAATTCCATTTAAATAGATTTTACATTGTGAAATAAAGCATAACCATTGATGCCACCCATACATAAAGAAGTGCCCCTCCTGAGCCACCCCATTTAAATGGGTCTGGACACGCCACTGCTTTAAACACAAATATGCCACAGCCCATACACTGCTGCTTTGTCACCATTAAAACAGACTATCACACACACACACACACCGTACGTTTTTGTACATTTTATAATATTTCTATCTTTTTTTTTCTTTGGACCAACAAAAGCAAAGATTAAACATCTCCTAAAATAAAAGACAGACTTTTGTTATGTTCACTATTATTACTGCATTTTTTTCACAGTTTCCCATTAACTCATTCACTGCCATTGACGACTAAAGTCGTCATTTTAGATCCAACCGTTCACTGCCATTGACGACTAAAGTCGTCATTTGCATTTTTTTTACTGTTTGAGCATCGGAACGAGCCCCCGCGCTGAGAGAACAAACATCTCAGCCCTGAAGCCGATCTTCATCCGCATACGTCACAGATCACATGATCAGGAAGCAGAACATCCATGTGTTAGGAGATCGTTTTGGGCCGTTCCTGTAAAAAAAGTGAGGCGCGAACTGGAAAAACGTCTGCCAATCACAATTCGACAACGGATTATGAAAGAACGGATAACGCTCGAAACGCGCGGACTCTTCCTGATGTAAGAGGTGAGTCTCCTCTTTGTTTTGGTTGTTTTGGCATCGACATCATGCTAGCGCGCAACGTTCTGTGACTCTTAAAAAAACGGTGAGAAACGCTGGCAGCGAAGGCCGTTAGTGATCAAGAAACAGCTTGCAGTGAATGAGTTAAAGTGTGCATTCTCACGTTCATTGTGAGTCATTTGTATTCAGATTACATTGAGATAATAAGGATCATCTATGTGTTTTGAAAGACAATTCCAAATCAGAAATCAAATAAAAAGCCATAAAGTATTTTTATTGATCCCTGAAACTACTTAAACCAATAAATCTGACCCAGACAGACATAATTGTCAACATACTTTAGGAATAAAGTTTGATAGATTGGGAAGAATGTGCTGATTTTTGTGTCCTATTGGTGTTCCTGTGGTCAGTGCTGCTACTCTGAGCTCCTGGTAATGGATCAGCATTTAATTAAATAAAAGAAAACCACAAACTTCTCTTTCAATATTAAAGCGCTGTTTCTTTTCTTGGTATTTTATTGTCCAACTGTTTCTAATGTACACACCTTTCAGTTTGTGTATATGTGGTTCTGTAGACTAGGCTTTTATTCTTTTTCTTTTCTTTGTTTAAATTAAAAAGAGAAAAATCACCGGCACGATGTGTTAAATCCAAAGCTTACTGACCAAAAGCTGAACTGTTGGAAAAAAAGTGCTATGTTTCTTCCAGTGAAATGTATTTTTGATTAAATGTCTATATTTTTAAAATGTGTCTCTTCTATTTATCCCCCTCTTGTTTAGGCATTTTGCTCAATGCTATATTGGGGTGTACACGTGATTTTTGATTAACTTGTTTTTTATATTGTTGGTGCCTGACTCTGAACTACTGTGGACTAAATCTTTTTAATAAACTCAAAGAAAAATAAGTATCTTTTTTATTATTGAAATATGCTTTAAATTGTTCTGCTGGCGAGGTTTTATTAAAAAACAACAACTTTGCGTTGAACTAACCTTTCAAAAATATGTAGACAATACACATTTTTCAATGGATTCTGCTTATTCTGGTGGGCACTTGTCTCCCTCTAGTGGATAATTTTGACCTGACAAGTTAAAGACTTTCAAGAGGTTGATAAGTGTTATGAAAAGAGAGCTGTTGATTTTCAAATCTCATAGACACTATAGATATTGTAGTTTCTAGAAAACAGTTGGTTTATGGTTAATTTGGAATGGTGCCATGCAATCTGCCCCACCTGGTGTTTTTTCTGGTATTTAGCTTATACTTAAGTTATTTACCTTGTAGTTGTTTGATGAAGTTACAACTTACTTACTTATTCTTGAGCATGTTTAAACAATGTATCTATAGTCTGTTTTCTCAGAATAATTCATTAAAATAAATAATTTTATTTCTTTACAATAGAGAGAGAAAAAAAACATTTTTTAGAAACATTGGTATATGCATAAATGGTGTGTCCTTTTAAAATATTACTAATTTGATAGCATAGACTTTTTTTTTTTTTTTTAATTTCATCAGATTTTTGTTTAAGCAATTAACTTACTGAGGTCCTGAGAAAGATGGCGACCGTGATAGACGTGCTTGGTCTCGCGAGAGGAGAAGCTGTTTGATTTCCGGGAAAGTATTTATATAATAAAATAACAAACATTAGAAATTATGCATTTCTTTGCTTCTAATCAATTTTTTGTTGTGTGTTGTCTCCCAAATAAAAATTTATCTGTTTTCAAAAACAAAAAAGGCTTTTAAATGGTTGGTCCAGTGTACTTGCTATACGTCACCTCGTTTGATGATTTTATTGTGAAAACGGAATCGGAAGTTTTTATTAGCTTGCTACGATCAAGAGTAGCGTAGTTAAAGTTTCAGAAAGTGGTCCGCAGAACGTGCGTAGTGAAAAATGAACGACATTTCTGTTGACAGTTTGATTCTGAAGCTTCACGATGTGAACGCGGTGAAGTTTGGAGAATATAAGCTAAAGAGCGGCTTGCTGACACCGATTTACATCGACCTAAGGGTTCTGGTCTCCCACCCGAACCTCATGAATCAGGTAAACACGTGCTGCTTTCGTCTTTGCCTTGTTTGAGTTGTTCAAATACGGTGTTATAATACAAGAGCAGCTGCAAAACACATATTGGAGCTTTATTTTTTTATTACACATATGTGCTTTACTTGTGTTTTTTAAACGATCTTCCAGCGCATGTGGGTGTTTCATCACTCAAAAGACCACAATCAGTCAATCGATTATCAATAAATCGCAACATGAAGCTTGAAGCCAATGTAAGATACACCATTTCTATTTGTAAATGTTAAGATCAGCAGTAGATGTCAACAATAACAAATTTTGTCCATATAAGAGCGGTGGAATGAGGATTTTACTCTTATTTAAAGGCTTAATCTATAATATGTTTTAAACACGATGCGTTTAACCATCTAGGTCTAATATGAGGAATGCTTATGGAAATTGAGATTGCAATCAACTTCTGTGCACTCAAGCATTTTTATGAGCAAGTATAAAAGTAAAGTCAACTGAAAAATTAATATATTGGTGTAAGGTTAGTTTTAATCAATCAATCAATCAATCAATCAATCAAAATGTATTTGTATAGCGCCTTCCACAGCCTTTACAGAAGCCCATGGTGCTGACACAAAAACAACAAAAGAGCAAAGAGACCACAAGACAGTTTAACAATGTTTTTGTGTTAATATTTGCACCAAAAGATTTTATTATCTATTAGGAATAAGGAATTTTCCTTAAATGCATCAAGGAGCTTTGCAGAAAGCCAAATGACTCATAATGCTCCAAATGTGAGCACAAGATGACCTTTAAACCCCCAAATAATGAACTTTATTTCTTGACCCTAATTGAGGGCTTTAATCTTTAGGGGAGGAGGTATTAGGCCCAATCTTGCTTTCATTAAAGGAGCAAAGTCCTGAAACAGTTTGTGTGAATGTGCTTGTTGAAATGATGCACCAGATCCTTAATTTTATCTTATAGAAAGACCTTTTGTCTTTCTCCAAAGGTGTCGAGTCTGATTTACCAGCGAGTGCAAGAAGAGAGCCTTCAGTTTGACTCGGTGTGCGGAGTCCCGTACACAGCCCTGCCTCTCGCCACGATCATCTGCTCCAGACACGAACTGCCCATGCTCATCAGACGCAAGGAGGCCAAGGACTATGGCAAGCAGAGCTACTGTTTACACTTTACTTTAACATTGTACAGTTTTGGGTCAGTTTGTCTGATCCTTCTTATGTGACCTCTCTTTAGGAACCAAGCGGCTGGTGGAGGGGTCGTTTCATGTGGGTGACACGTGCCTGATCATTGAGGACACGGTCACGAGCGGCAGCAGCATCCTGGAGACAGCAGAGGTGCTCCACAAAGAAGGACTGAAGGTGCAGAGTCACATACGTTTCAAGCAGATAAATGATTTAGACGTGGTTCACCACGAATCCAGACACACGGGGATGCTTCTAAGCAATTTCCTTTTTTATTTACTTAAGGTGACAGATGCTGTGGTGCTGATGGATAGAGAGCAGGGCGGTGCGGAGATGTTGGAATATCAGAAAATCATTCTCCACCCGATCATCTCCATGTCCAAGCTGCTGGATGTGCTGCTTGCAGCCAAACGCATCGACGCTGAAACCGACCGGACCGTCCGCAAATTCATCCAGAGCAACAACACTTTCAGGTACCTTGAGCCGTTTTCACCTTAAACTCTCAGCCATGTTTTTTCCTGGATTTTTGCAGCTTTTATTCATGTTTGGGCCACATTTATGTACGTTTAATATTTTAAAAAGCTTCACAGTTTCGTTATGATTCTGATCTTTTAGGCCCAAGGAGGAGAATGGCAGTGCCGTTCCAGCAGCCAAAAGGCCGTGTGTGGAACTGAGACGAGGGTTGAGCTACGCAGATAGAGCTGCGCTGCCAAGTTCGTAGCGTCTTTTTTTATTGAATCAGATTTTAACAAGTTAGGGGACGCTAAAGCTTCTTTTTACCTACAGACGTCCACCCCTTGGCATCGAAGCTGCTGAAGATCATGGAGGAGAAGCGATCCAACCTCTGCATTTCTGCTGACGTGACCAGCGCTAAGGAGCTGCTCCAGCTGGCGGAGTCTCTTGGTCCAAAGATCTGCATGTTGAAGACTCACGTGGACATCCTGAAGGTAAAATGTAGCAATCTGTTAAATGTTAGCCTTGTTTTGACCTAGTAAACTCAAAGCTGTGAGTGCTAACAGGACTACACGGCAGCCTTCAGCCAAGAGCTCCAGACCCTAGCTGAGAAACACAACTTCCTCATATTTGAAGATCGCAAGTTTGCTGATATTGGAAATACAGTGAAGCATCAATATGAGGGTGGGGTAAATGATTTATTTTTTTATTATAAACTTTTTTACCGAGGAGTAGTTTGACACGATGCCTCTCTACCTGCTCTGAAGGTGGTGTGTTCCAGATCTCGTCCTGGTCTCATCTAGTCAATGCCCACGCCGTCCCGGGGCCCGGGGTGGTGAAGGGTCTCGGGGCTGTGGGGAAGCCTCTGGGACGAGGATGCCTGCTTATTGCACAGATGAGCTCCCAGGGTTCTCTGGCCACTGGCGAATACACAAAGTCTGTGGTAAGCATCGTCTGCCGTGGTGTTTTTTTCTGCGTTGGGTCACCGTGAGTCCACAGCAGATAACACCTGCTCTGTCTCCACAGCTGCAGATGGCAGAGGAGCACTCCGATTTTGTGATTGGATTTATCTGTGGCTCTGAGGTCACCGAGAGGCCAGAGTTCATCCACGTGACCCCCGGGGTGCAGCTAAAGACCGGTGGTAAATATGATTAGGTTCTGATCAGGTTTTTCTCGGTTAAATCAATTTAGCATAATCATAAAAAAAATCCTAAAATGTTCGCCACCGTGGTGGGACTAACCTTGGAGGCGGAGTCAGACTACAGGGATGAGGTTGAAATACTGTCAAAATGGAGTTCAGCCAACAATTTTCAATTAAACGGCTCAAACACCAAAGAAATCTCCTGGACCTTCAGGAAAGACGGAGCAGCCCTTCCTCGCTACATCAATGAGGATTACGTGGAGAGTTCCCTCTATTCGATTCCTGGGAGTGGAGATCTCTGGCAACCTCACCTGGACAGACCGTACCGCCGTGGTTGTAAAGAAAGCCAAACAGCAGCTCTACTTCCTGAGGGTTCTCAGAAGACACGACCTGGAAAAGAAGTTCAACGCACCCACAGAGAGCATCCTGTCACCCTGCAGAGCGCTGTCGTACACAGGCAGCTCAGCTTGCCTCTCATCCTGGAAATCACCTGCTGGAGCTGCTACCCTCGAGACCGCGCTACAGGTCACACAGAGCCCGGACTTTCAACCTTGTAACAATAAACATGAAATATGGTAAAGAGCATAACAAATAACCACTCAAATACGGTGCAATGAATCTGCCTCCATTCTGCATTTATGTGCTAAATGCTGAATCTCAGAAACGGAAAAACAACGGTGACATACAGTGAAAAAAGCTGCTTCTGTTTTCCTCTCCGCTGGTTTTGCACTTTTCCGATTGCACTATAGCTGAAAGTATGGTTACCAGTACTGTACATTATTTTACTTGTTTTATTGGTAAACGCTTAACTCAACAATAATAAGCTATGGCTTGCTGATAACTTCCTCCATCTTAATGACTCCAAGACTGAGTTAATCGTTTTTAGTCCTTACAGTACCACGGCGACTCATCAACCTGACCTCAACCATCTCACCTAATGTATCCTCTGTAATCTCCAACCTTGGAGTAAAAATGGACCAGGCTCTGAAGATGGTTGCCCAGGTCAATAACACAGTTAAATCATGTTTTTACCAACTAAGACGCATCTCGAAACTAAAGCACATCCTGAGTGTACGTCTTCTGAAATCGGTGGTCCACACTTTTATCACCTCAAGGCTGGATTACTCCAACTCCTGCTTATATGGCATCAGTAAAGCAGCTCTCTCTAGACTTCAGCTGGTCCAGAATTCAGCAGCTAGGTTGCTGACTGGAGCTGACAGAAGACAACACATTTCTCCAATTCTGAAATCTCTCCACTGGTTGCCCGTGCAGTTCAGGATAAACTTCAAAATTATGCTTCTGACTTACAAATCCTTGAACCATCAAGCTCCTCCATATCTGTGTGAACTTGTCCATTACTACAACCCTCTCAGGTCTGAAGATAAGCTCCTCCTAGCTGTTCTGAATGCACGTTTAAAAAGCCGTGGAGCAAGGGCTTTCTCTGTCTGTGCACCCAAGCTGTGGAACGCATTACCACTGCTAGTGAGGCTAGCACCAACAGCTAGCATTTTTAAATGACGCCTGAAAACTCACTACTTCAACCTAGCGTATACCACATAATTATGAACCTCACTTACAACTACATTGTTTAAAAATGGAATTCACAATATCAATATCAACTTCCGTATTATTGAGGTTCTTTTTAAAATGTTTTTCTTATTTTTTATTCTGCCTGTGTTTTATTGATTTTTAACTGTTAGTTCTAGGAATTTTGTTGTTTTTCCTTTTTATCTTTCATCTCTGTTCTACATGACGGTCTGACGCCGATTTAATTAACTAACATTTTTAGTGCACAGCGCCTTGTTTGGTTGTAATGCCTTGTTGAATGCGCTTTACAAATAAAATGGTATGGTATAATGTGGTTTTTACATTTCATTGCTACTCATTTGCACTGCTCAGCATCTTGAACTTTTAGGTTGACTAATATAGCTTATTTTCTCCATAGATGTAGATGCTGATTGTTTATATCTTATATTGTATTTTACTGTATTTCCCTTATCTACTGCAAGGAGTAGCTGCTCAGATTGTTGACAAACAATGACAGTAAAGGTGATTCTGATTCTTCACGTCTCCAACGCAAGGGGGCGCTGTTGCTTTATAAGTAACTGTTCCCCTGCTCACTCTGATCACCCATCTCAGTGTTGTCCCTCCGCCCTCCAGGTGATTCGTTGGGCCAACAGTACACAACCCCAGAGGAGGTGATCTACAGCAAAGGCTCTGACATCATCATCGTGGGACGAGGAGTCCTGGAGGCTCCTGATAGGCTGGAAGCTGCCGAGTCATACAGGAAGGCAGGCTGGGATGCTTACATAAAGAGCGTGAGCCAGACTAGCCAATAAGATCTCAGGCGTGCATCATTGTGCATCATTTCAGGTTTGATCTACAACCGAAGAACTTGAAACGTTTACCGACTCTTCAACCAGAACCCATCGTATTCTTATCCGTTTATTAAGGCGAAGACTGAAGAATTCTTCACTTTGCCATAAATGTTGTTAGATTCTGACCAGTTTTACAGTTTATTTGATTCAATTTTTTTTTTATCTAAACCACAAGTTTCTACAGATGATTTTATTTTCCATTAATGTTATTTTTTCAGCATAAACTACTTTGATGTGTTGACTGTTTTTCTGTGTCAAACTCACCATCAGACATGATTATTATAAATATGTTTGTATTCAGGGGAAAGAGGTAATCGCGCTCTAATTGTTCTGAAATTATTATTTTTTAACTAAGAAGAGGAGTGTTGTGTTATTGTTTGGTAACATTTTATATGAAAGTTGATCTCCAGCTGATAAAGGATCATAGAAATGTTATTAATGTGTGACAGTCGAGGCCGTTACTGGTTATGTGTCATGTTTAACTTTATTAGATGCCATGTTGTGTGAGGTGACTACGGCTGTGGGGACTAATCTAAGCTGTCCGTGTTTTGTTAAAAAGCTAAAATCAGGTGAATTGTGACCGAGATTAATGGTCTGATTCAATAAAAAGGTGTTAGTGAAGCAGCTAATTATGTTATGTACTTGTTAATTTCTTCTTAGGTGTGTTTTGTATTAAAGTTACCAGAATCATAAACAGCTGCTGTTGATTATTAGGATCTATGCTAAACAATGTTGTGGTTATTTTTTTTTTACTTTTAGGCCATTTTTCAGAGGAGCAATAAGAAAGTGTTTTGTGAACCTGTGATTAACCAATGAAAATGATTCCTTTCTCTCAAAATCCTAATGGAATAAACATATGAGCATCCTAATTGCCTTCTAATATTCTTCATCCTTCTATCCATTTTCCTCCACTTGTCTGGGGTCGGGTCGCGGGGGCAGCGGCCTGAGAGGGCCAGACATCCCTCTACCCAGCCACTTGGGCCAGCTCTTCTCGGGGTCAGTGGCCTAGTGGTAGAGTGTCCGCCCTGAGACTGGGAGATCAGGGTTCGACTCCTGGTCGGGTCATACCAAAGACTGAAAAAATGGGACCCAATGCCTCCCTGCTTGACACTCAGCATTAAGGGTTGGATTGGGGGGTTAAACCACCAGATGGTTCCCGAGCGCGGCTGTGTCTGCAGCTCCCCGCTCCCCGAGGGGATTGGTCAAATGCGGAGAACAAATTTTGCACACACACCTGTGTGTGTGACAACTAATGGGACTTTGACTTTTGACTTTGGAATCCCAGCTGTTCCCTGGCCAGATGAGAGACATAGTCCCTCCAGCGTGTCCTGGGTCTTCCAGTCGGTCTCCTGGTTGGACATGTCCAGAAAACCTCACTAGGGAGGTATTCAGAAGGTGTCCTAACTAGATGGCCGAGCCATCTCAACTGGCTCCTCGATGTGGAGGAGCAGCAGGTCTACTCTGAGCCCCTCCCGGATGACCGAGCTTCTCACCCCATCTCTAAGGGAGAGCCCAGCCACCTTGCTGACAAAACTCATTTTGGCCGCTTATATTCACAATCTCGTTCTTTCGGTCACTACCCAAAGCTTGTGCCCATAGGTGAGGGTGGGAACGTTGATCAACCGTTAAATCGAGCTGACTCGGCTCTCTTTTCACCGCAATGGATCGGTACAACGCCCGCATCACAGCAGACGCAGCACCAGTCCACCTATCGCTCTCATGCTCCATCTTTCCCTCGGTGATGAACAAGACCCCGGGATGCTTCAACTCCTCCACTTGAGGCACTTTTTTATTTATTATTACACACATTCCTTTTTTTGAGTTAAAAACCACTCATAATACTTCTGATGATTTAATAAAACTTCTAAAACGTCTCGCACCAAAGATCAAACAACGACAAACCTGATTAGCATTCCAGCGTCCCGCCCGTGGGACGGAACGCATTGGGAAGGGATGGAAAAACGCGTTGATCCACTCAAATTAATGTTTCTTTTGTTGCGGTGTGGATTTTCCCTTCAATGACAGGTTTCTCCTCACATCCCCTTATAGTCACATACAGTAAGAGTCCCTGCACTGATGCGCTCAGCATCAGAGGTATTTGCAAAACAAAATGTATGGAAATGACGTCCAAACAGACGGAGGCTTTTTAACAGTTCAGTGGAGATGCAGGAGCCACCTGTCATTGTCTGGTGCACGGGAGGAAGAGGAGGACTGGGGAGGAGGAGGAGGAGGAGAGGGCACATCACCGCTCCCTCTTTGTGTCAATATTAGATCAGAGCAACGCGCCGTGTGACAGGTGTATGTGCTGCGAAGGGGAGGAGAAAGTAGAGCAAAGGGGGAGAGGGAGGGCGAGCAGAGGTATAAGAGGTGCGCACCTGTCCCAAAAGGCGCACTTTCAGCGCGTGTCACAGGTGAGGACAGAGGTGGTGCATCACCTGTTATTTCATTATTCTGCTAAAAAGGTAGGCTGGGAATGTTTGCAGATGATTATTAACCTCTCCACATGTTGCTTTCTTTTAACTAACTTTCTTTTTATTGTTTTAATTTTCCCTCTTTGAAAAGCTGTGAGGAGATGAGCCAGCTGTTCCACATCTGGAGCGGCACCACCACTGCGGGCGAGGGGGATTCTTTGTGACTTTTCCCAATTTTGTCCGTATTTGCTTCACGTTGAGCCTCACGCACAATACCTGAAGATGAAGTTTTGTTCGTTCGGCTCGCGTTACGCAGGTACGGGCTGGCACCTGGAAAAGTTTACACAAGAGGAGAACGCTAACTAAATCCTGTTCAGAGAGAGAGAGAGAGAGAAGGGGGAGGAGGGGGTGTTTTCATAGTTGGTTAAAGGAAAAGTCTATTAGAAGCCAATAAAACCCCAGGAACAGTGATTTTTTAAACATAAGATGATAAAACATCTAGTGACTAACGCAGCAGGTGTGCTGCAGCCTTCTGAACAGGTAGATTATCTTATTTGCATACAGCTGGCTGCAGACAATGCTCCAAAGACAGCAGCAACTCAGAATGTATGACCCAGGATGTTCAGCAACTGGTTTTTACTGCATAAACTGGGAATCATGGTCTCCCATGAGGCCATGTGTTGATGCAAAATCAAAAAAACAACAAAGATCTATACAGATAGCGACCAAAGGTCTACATCTGTACCTGTGTGTGTGTGTGTGTGTGTGTGTGTGTGTGTGTTGTGTGTGTGTGTGTGTGTGTGTGTGTGTGTGTGTGTGTGTGTGTGTGTGTGTGCGCGCAAGATGCACCAAAAGGCCTGACATTTACCAGGACAGGGGTGATAATCTCTTCATCTCCCCTTTGACGATAGTTCTCCCATTTGCACATTCATGATGACACCTTGTCATTTTCCACTGGGGGGGGGGGGGGGGGGTCTGTTCATCACTAACCATCTCTGACGTCACACATCGAGACCTGCAGGCAAACGCCCGAGTGCAGGAAGATGGGCTTAATGGGAGGTTTGCTAATCATTAACTAAACATTAAGCACACACACAGATGCAGAGATGTGATACGAGCCATCTGTCGCCTGGACGCTGCGATGAAGAACTCAAGCACCTGTCTGGGCTTCTTAAACGTGCAGCAAACTAAAACAATGACTCCAGGAAAACTCCATTACCTTAACTCTTCTAAAACGGGGAATAGAGCATCTAGACAACAAAGTTTCTCTTTAAACAGCACAAAAAAATTTAAACAATAAGCTATTTGGTTGTGTACCACACTGAGCCACAAGCAGTTGGAATAGTTGATGAAAATATGTAAATAAAGTGTTTTTGATGCTTTTTAAGCATTTTTTGTGTAAAAATCAAACACCTCTGGCCACATTTAAATCTAACAAAACCATCCAGCCTACAATAGATAATAATGCACTTATTTATGCCCCCTCCCATGTTAAACCAGAATCACCATTCATTATGTCACAAAAGACCTCAAGTATGTTTCACTACCTGGAGAAAGCAGCCCCCCCAGCCCTCACGCCACTCCGTACCTGAGCCCATTTGCCTCTGCTTGAATCTCCAGTCAATATTTGTTTAAAGCCAGTGAACAACAACGACTCACGGTCCTTGGTATCCTGGTTACGTTGCTCACATTTCAAACGGCCGTCCCAACTGTCGTGCTGCTGCTGCACCTGCCCGTCCAGCTCCACTGAGATAAAGCCTTCTATAATCATTAGCTTTCATCCTAAGCAAGGGTAGTTATTCCCATAATGATAATAATTATAATAATAATAACAATAATATTATTTGTTATTTCTCTCTCCCTCTCTTTCTCTCTTTACACACACACACACACACACACACACACACACACACACACACACACACACACACACACACACACACACACACACACACACACACACACACACCCCTCTCTCTATGTTGTTTCTGCCATTGAACATATTTGTATAATTCAGCAATATTGTTGCTGAATATCAGCACTGGTGTGATTCGGTCATAGATAATCACACCAGTGCTGATATTCAGCAACAACGCACGACCTCGAGTGCGATATTGCTTTTATACAACAGTTCTACCTGCTCATTTTGTTTTTATAACAACAACAAGCAACAACAGATTATGATTTGTTCATTTATTTAATCATTTATCCGGCTCCGTCAACACAAATAGTCCCAAAACGCAACAGAGACTCAGACAAGGCTGTTGCTAGGCAACACAAACATTTTCTACAAAGCACTGTAATAACGAACGGCTGTGCACAGCGGAGTGATACTGTTTGTAAACAGTCCCAGTGCTGTTATAGTCCAATATCAGCACTCTTGGAAAGTCTCTTGACCAATCAAATCCCTCGGTCGGAACTAGCTGTTGCATAAAAGACTATAAACTAATTTTAAGTGGACCAGGGATAACTGAATATTGCAGCCAAACACGTGTGGCTTTGACACATTTTATAAATAAGTTTAAAAATTTCCAAATTCATCTTTCAGCATCTTTTCTGTGTATTCCTAATCTTTTTTTGTTGTTTCTTTATCATATCAACTGCTTTTGACAAAAGATGCATCATCTCTTCCATAAGCCACCTCTCTCCCTCGCCTCTGCCGTGACCCCGTGAACCCGATCCTGCCGGGCCACGCTGAAACAGTGCTGTTTATTTATCTGCTGCAGGTACATAATTGCATTTGTGGTGCCTGTCTAACTCTTTTGGTGTAATGGCAGAGGAGAGAGAGAGAGAGAGAGAGAGAGAGTGTGTGTGTGTGTGTGTGTGTGGTTGTGTGTGTGTGTGTGTGTGTAATCGGTTGAGCCGCCTGTAGGCAGAGTGCTGTTTCCTCTGACAGTTACTGATAATGAGGACTCATGCAAATGCCCGAGGCCTATTTCCTCAGTCGGGTGGCTCCGCCCCCACTTTTGTTCTCAGATGTTTTGATGATGAATGAGCAGAAATTCAAAAGTCAACATTTATGTTCTAAAAACCACCCACCGTCGTTTACTTCAGTCTGTTTTAGATACAGCCAACTGCAGAGCGACGTGGTCTGAATGTCTGTCGTCACTACAGCTGATGGCCCTTCTGGCTTCCTGTTTACCACCCTGGCGATGATTCACCGAGGCCTCCATAGAACATATTTTCATCGTTATGAGATTTCTCTGTGTTTTCCTGTCCAGATGCTTAGGTGTCCAGTCAGAGAAGAGCGAGGACAAGCGGAGGCGGCACGAGCAGATGTCCTGCTCACATCATCCATACCTGGATTAGTCTCCATGGTAACGTTCCACCTGAAGGAGGACATTAATTCAGGGCAATGTGCGTGTCAGCATGTGTAGATAAACAAACGCATGATGTGTGTGTGTGTGTGTGTGTGTGTGTGTGTGTGTGCGTGCGCGCGCGCGTGTGTGTGTGTGTGTGTGTGGCGATTTGCTGTCAGGCTTTGGTATCATGTACTCATGGTCACTTTTGAAGTATTCAAGGTTCTTTTATAAACTTATGTTTTATTTCTAAGGGAGAAAACCAACAATGAAAGCTTTCCCTACAAAAATCCTGGGAAATAAGATAGCAGCTGCTTCCGTTCCTGCAAGATTTAAATAAAAATATGGAAACAAGGGGAATTGTACTAACTTGTGTACGTGAAGGAATGTCTGTTATTGTGTTTTTTAAGCACAAAATTGCAGAAAATTGGTAAAACCCCCTTTTTTACTCGTTTTTTGGTGTTTTCCTGTTATTGTTCCAGCGGTCAATGGGCAATCAGGCGGGGTACACCCTGGACAGAGAGCCAGTCCGTCGCAGGGCAGCTAATTTGTTCATTTTAATTATATTTCTACATCTGTTGATTTTACGGTTCTGCCGCGTCACAAAGCTGAACTTCTGCTGCTGAATTTAGTAGAACTAAAGCAGAGACGCTGACGATCCACAAAGAAGCTTCCTCTGGAAACAGATGTGCAATACATTTGTGCCAAATATTACCAAGTACAGCAGATGAGTCATTTGAACTGCTTAAAGAAATGAATGGACGTGTCATGCAGCCAGATAAGGATTCAAAGCAGTAGCACACAGTAGTGGCTCTGTACCCGAGTACGCTGAGCCTCCACGTATGCAAATCCCTTCCCCTGGCTGTATTTCACTGGGAAATGAGATGTGCGTGAGCTGATGTGTGTGTGTGTGTGCTCATCTGTATTCCTTTCAGTGGGAGATTTCCCACCAATAACACTTTATCAGAGACTGATGTTCACAAAAGGGTGAATCTACAATCCTAGCAGGTCAAAGTATTACAGGTGAAACTCCAACAAGTTTGTTTAGTTCAATAATTCAGTTTAAAAGGTGAAACTAACACACAGGAATGACTCATTTTGTGCAAAGCCGTGTTTTTCCAGTTTCGCCCGGGTTTTTGGAGATTTTGGTTTGGATTAGTTCAACGGGCTACTCAGTTTGAGTTTATTTCACAGGCATGGAGCATACAATCTATTTTACTGCTGTTGTATGTTATTAGTGCTGGGATTTGGGTCCAAGATAATAAAAAAACAACATATTCTGTGTAGGAGATCAAATGCTTTGTATGGACTTCTTTTCATTTTAGTAACTGCATTTATGCCTAACCCTAACCATGAACAATGTATTCCTGAACCTAACTAACTCTATTCACGTCTTACCTCTAAACCCCACCCCTAAGCCTAAAACTGGGCGTCCACCGTATCAGGACCTGGTTTTGAAGAAGAAGAAGAAGAAAATATCATTTCTATAGTGCCTCTCAAGATAAAAATCACGAGGCGCTTAAACAGGGAGGTACGTCCTCGGTGCATGTGCGCACGCACACACAGACACACACACACTGAACTCACTTCAGGGAGTATTGAATCTAAATGTTTTGGTCCTAACACGGCCCATCGGCCTTCAGAAGTTAAGGGAATATGCCAGTTTTGGTCCTAAGTAGTTAAACAAGTACACACATGCACACAGTGTGACGGCAGTAGCTCAGGAGGAAAAGCGGGTTGTCAGTAATCAGAAGGTTGCTCTCCTGCTAGAGAATGATGCTGTAGTGTCCTTGGGCAAGATGCTTAAATCGCCTTACGTGCTGGTGGTGGTCAGAGGGACCGGGGCGCCTGTGCTCGGCAGCCTCGCCTGTCAGTGCGCCTCAGGGCCGCTCATCATTACCAGTGTGTGGATGTGTGTGTGTATGGATGGATGACTGACTGTGTTGTAAAGCACCCATTTACCATACTAGCAATAGCTAAGATTGTAACACACACACACACACACACACACACACACACACACACACCAGCTCAGTGGCCTAGTGGTAGAGTGACCGCCCTGAGACTGGGAGATCAGGGGTTCGACTCCTGGTCGGGTCATACCAAAGTCTTTGAAAAAATGGGACCCAATGCCTCCCTGCTTTAACACTCAGCATTAAGGGTTGGATTGGGGGGTTAAACCACCAAATAGTTCCCGAGCGCGGCTGTGTCTGCAGCTCACCGCTCCCCCAGGGGATGGGTCAAATGCGGAGAACAAATTTCGCACACACATCAGTGTGTGTGACAACTATTGGGACTTTAACACACACACACACAAACACAGTATGTGTGTGTGTGTTTTAACTCACTTCAGGGAGCATTGAATCTAAATGTAATGATTCACAAAACAGTGTTTTCCCATCATGTGGACGTGCTTTTATCTGTAAACAGGAGGCAGGTTGAAACTGTGTGACAAGGTAAACAGAATTATACCTCTCACCATGTGTAACACGAGTACACACACACACACACAGACACACACACACACACACACGCACACACGCACGCACGCACACACACACACACACACACACACACACACACACACACACACACACACACACACACACACACACACACACACACACACACACACACACACACAACATCTGTGTCTATATAAACCCTTCACCTGCTCATCACCTGCTCCCAGGACAAGCAGGGTGGCGCACACTCATGCACACGCATGTAGAGACACCCAATGAGCAGGTTAGCAAAGAACAAAGAGAAAGCTGTTCATACAAGTAAACATGTCCCACAGGTGGAGCACATGCACAACCACACAGACACACACACACACACCTGTCTTTCTATCATATTGAGGACCCTCCATTGACTTCCATTCATTTTTGTGATTTCACCATGCCTAACCCTAATCTTAACTAGAACTGAATTCACACCAGACCTCTAAAACTAACTGGTAAGCTTCTAAAAAGGTGAGGACCGAAAAATGTCCTCACACTGTAGGGAACATGGTCAAAGTGGTCCTCAGTATGTAGTATGTACAAGAACACACACACACACACACACACACACACACACACACACACACACACACACACACACACACACACACACACACACACACACACACACACACACACACACACAATTAAACAGTAGTATTCAGTCAGAAGAATCGTTTCAGGCTCCTTTTGTTGCTGTTTTCATACATTTTCGCAACAGGAAGTTTAATTAGTTCTAATATTTTTAAAACGATTTATTTGAAAGTCCACAAAGATGGAAAATGAATGATTATATTGAAAGAACAAGCTGCCTTTTGTGCTCTTGATGCAGTACAGATATTGACCACTAGATGTCACTGAAGATACAGAAAAACAAACAGCTTTTCTTGTCTCCTGGACAGCTTTAGACGTTCTCTTTGTTAAGCTGGCTTTGGAAAAATAATGTTACAAAACTAATTCACGAAAGAGTTTATAATGAAAATACATTTTCATTTGATGTCAAAGGTAAATGTAAAGCTCAGGATGACAATTTTGTTAATCTGTAAATCAAAATTACATGTTTGTTCACATGCATTTACAACATAGAAATGGTCAGTTTACTGTTTTCTGTAATAATATAATATAATAATATTCAACAGCTCTTCAGACATGAAGATCATTTTCTAAACCCATAAATGCCCCAAATTCACAAATTTAAAATGGAAAAGTAATTAAAGTAAATAAAATTCATGCCTTGTTGAGTTAAAAAAACACACATATCATTTTGAAAATACATTTTACATGACTTATCATTCAGTCATGATTTTATTTATCAGACATTTTATTTTCTGTGTATCATAAGCAAACAAACTTAACGTAAAAAAATCACTTCTTCCAACTATTTCAAAATCCTCAGGAAAAGCAGGAAACATCCTCTCTGCATGACATTCGCATCATTTCTCTCTAGTTAAGGACGCCATTGACCCACAGCAGAGAGGGAGACAGTGAGAGAGAGGGGATCAGCTCCCAGAATGCGTTCATTATCCAGCCTCACCAATCAAACTGTTGTGTCAGTGCGTTGCCTTTGTAAAGTCCCGGGTCAGGTTGCCACTGAGCATGGCTGCCATAATGATGACTAAGTCAGTTTGGGGCTCTGAGGACAATAGTGCTCTGGAGCCTTCACAAAGCGTGAGGCTAATGCTCCCCTTTCAGCCGGCCGGCTCAGCTGCTGAGTGTGCAAGGCTGCTGGGCAAATGGAGCAGCGCAGGTCCAGGGGGGCCCGACCCTATAAAAACGCAGGCTAGGGTCTCTCCCCCGACATTGATATTACTGGATCTGTCCCACCTCAGTACCGTCTGTAAGTATTTCATGTTACCTCATACTTAGCTGCAAGGATGTGCAAACAGGGGGTTAGACTGGGGTGGAGTTCAGGTGACGGCAGGATGCACTTTGATGTGGTTAGAAGAAAAAATGCATTTGATTGAGGGCAAAGAAATCATTTTTATGGGATTCTTTCATTTTTGTGTTTTTGTTTTGCGTGCAAACAAAACAGATACGACCTAAAAACAATCAGAAAATTTGGGAAATAAAATAATAATTAAAATAAACCACAGGATGTTTATATTTTTATTTGCACATTTAAAAATTTTCTGTAGTTGCCGATTTGATAATTTAGAGGCTTAAAAACATTCTGCAGAAAGAAAATGGACCGTTGATGGATTTTTGGAAAGTTTTCTCCAAATATTTGCTTAAAGCTGCAAAAATATCAGTTACAGTTAAATTTAGATAAACCCTCAGGTTTCTGGGCTCAGACGTGCATTGATGCACTCTTTTGAGTTGGTTGTGTTTTCTTCAGAGAGAAAGCCCCAAGGGGAGACACAGCAGCCATGAACACTCAACAGATGGAGCAGATGGGCCAGTTCAGGATCACCGTCTGGGAGGAGGAGAACTTCCAGGGAAAGCGCTGCGAGTTCATGCTGGAATGCCAGAACATCATGGAGAGGGGCTTCAACAAGATCCGCTCCATCAAGGTCGAGAACGGGCCGTAAGTCGGCCCCACTGGGTCTGCTTTTTTCCTTTTGCACCCGCTGACCTCTGGAAGGATGATCAGTTAACCATGCTGGGCAAAAGCATTTAAAAATCAGCCATTTTGCTCACTTTTTTTTTTGAAAAATAACAGTTAATAACTTTCATTTAACTTGCCTGAAATAGTAGGAATGAAGCAGTCATGGTTCAAAACGTACTACAGAAAAAATGTTTGCATTTGCAAATTACAACCTGCTATTTTTACAATTACTCTGGCTTGTGTGTGTGTGTGTGTGTGTGTGTGTGTGTGTGTGTGTGTGTGTGTGTGTGTGTGTGTGTGTGTGTGTGTGTGTGTGTGTGTGTGTGTGTGTGTGTGTGTGTGTGTGTGTGTGTGTGAGCACATATCCAAGTGTGACCCTGATGTGAAATGAGCTGGCTGTGTGCAGCTGCCGGCTGTCAGCCACAGAGGCTGCCTGACTGACTGGAGATCAGATAAGAGGCCCTGGGCGCAGCAGCAGCAGCAGCAGCAGTGCTTGATGTTTGCTTTGTGCCTCCAAGTGACAAAAGGAGCTGCATGTGTTATTTTAAATGAACTCTTTTATGTGGGTGTCCTGCTGTTTGTCACAAGATGACGGGTTTGCTTTACTTGTCGCAGATATGCTTAAAATGATTTTTGTTTGTGTTCTTTGTTTGTGACAATAACGTCCGTTGTTCCCATCCCTGCAGCTGGGTGGGCTATGAGTACCCAGAGTTTCAGGGACAGCAGTTCATCCTGGAGAAGGGAGACTATCCTCGTTACGAGGCCTGGAGCGGGAACAGCGGCTACAGAACCGAGCACATGCTTTCTTTCAGACCCATCAAGTGTGCCGTAGGTTCTCCTCTCATCACTTTATCTTTCAGCCCTAACCCCCGACGAACAAACGCATCCAGATTTGTTGTGCTTTTAAAATCACATGCACCAAAATATGGAGGATTCAGAAATAAATCAAATTCTAATGTTGTCTACTGGAGGAATGTCAGAATTTCATCTTTCCTTCTGCTGCAGAACCACAGTGACAGCAAGGTGACCTTGTACGAGTGTGAAGACTTTCAGGGGCGTAAGTTTGAGATGTGCGACGACTACCCCTCCCTACAGGCCATGGGCTGGTGCAGCAAGGAGGTTCCCTCCATCAAAGTCAACTCGGGAGCGTAAGACCCTCATCTTCCTCTCTCCTGAACGATCATTCTTTCAGATATCATTTAGAGAAATCCAACTATTTTGTAATTGCTTCAACGTCTTGCTGGTCTCAACCCATCCTCCCTCTCTGCAGCTGGGTGGCCTACCAGTTCCCTGGTTACCGTGGCTACCAGTACATCCTGGAGCGAGACAGACATCAAGGCGAGTACAGAAACTACAATGAGTACAGCACCCAGGCTCACACCAACCAGGTGCAGTCCATTCGTCGGATCCAGCACTAAGCTTCCACTCTGCCTGAAAACAAGTAAATAAAACGGAAATCCAACGCTTCCCCACCTCGAACCCTGGACATTCTTCTGTCACGGAAAAGCGGATGGAATAATGCTTTCTATCACTCTGTGGCTCTGGATGTATGGATATCAAAGGGCATACTTCTGCTACCATGCTGAAGCATGACCTTGAAATAGGAAATAAAGGCTTTTCTTCAAAACTAGAGACTTGTTTGCCAGTCTTCTTTTTTTCCACGGTAAATTTTACTATTTCAATTAAATAAAGAACAAAAGGTGCAACAAAAGTTCCTTTTGTTAATGACAAACATCACTGATGTTTAAGCTTTTACAAAATCAGAGCAGGTTTGATTCCGTTTGGCTTTAGGGTGTGTTCTGTTGTTCATGATGTGCTGCGTTCTTATTTCCAATAAACAAGAACATGAGAGTACATTTGTTTCTATTGTTTGTTTTGAAAAAAATTAATTCAGTTTATTCAAACAGCACTAGTTCACAACACAGGTCGTCTCGAGACCCTTTAAACAGCAAATATTCCAATTGAACCTACTTATCAGTGCATTGAGTTCAGTTCATTTTTCAATTAGTTAAAGTTTCCTATATAAGGAAACCCAGCAGATTGCACTGTGTCACTGACCTGTGTCAGAGGCTTTACAGCAATCCACATACTAAGCAAGCATTTAGCGACTGTGGAGAGGAAAAACTCTCCTCAACAGGTAGAGATGTCCAACTGAATATGGGTCAGTATGAGTAGCCATCTGCCATGACTAGCGATGAGTACCGAATTCGGTACTTTTTAAGGTACCGACCGAATTCCATAGTACCGACCGAGCAGCGATTCACGTCATTTCAAACGGTGCCTCGTTTCAGTACCCGTCCTTCATAACAAGAACTTGCCAAGACAGCTGCGCATGCGCAAGAGCGTTATGTCGTCGCTCGCTGCGCGCCAGTTGTAGACAGATGTAGTGAACCTGATTAGGCTCTTTTAATTATGTAGAGTAAAGGTTTATGCTCTTTTATGAAAGAGGAAACATCCTACATATTTTATAGTTTTAAGAAGACTCAAAGGTTGTTTTCATCGATAAACTGTCGATAATATCCGTGGGTCTGTGTTTCAGTTCAATGAAGAGACAAGTTGAAAGTTAAAATATTTAATTATTCAAATTAAACTAATGATTTTGAAATGACAAGCATATGAAACAACAATCAACATTGGCAACTTTGTTGAACAATCTTTAACAGTTGATATTGTAAACTTGCACAAATAGACCTGGTGTGGGATGTGCTGAAGGTTGAGTGTGATGTGGTTATCGATGCGTGTGTGTAAAATGTAGTGAGAATCGAAATTGAGGTGAGATGAATGCGTGTGTGCATCTGATTTTGCTTCAGAAAGAAACAGGTGTCTGAGTGAAAAGTGATGGTTTGAATAAACTTAGGTTTTGTTGGAAAAGACGCATCAAACGTTATCTATGTGTACTGCCTCACCGAAGTCGGACACTCTTTTAGATCCGGGACGCCAGAGGATGGTGATGTTTCATCCAGGTGACACCAGCGGCTGGCAGAGGAGACGTAGATGTCCGCGACCCGGTCCAGAGATGCCCGCGGTACACGTTGATGGAAAAACATTTGCAGATGCGTTTTCTTAAGCTTAGTTCACTCAGAAATCAAAAGACTTGAGGCGAGTCCGCGTTAGTTGTTGCAATTCAGCTATTCCTGTCTGACTTGGCAAGAATAGCGGGGGGGGGGGGGGGGGGGGGGGATGAGCCGATCGGCTCTGTCCCCCCTTTTTCGTTTATTCAGGTCTTCTCTCTTTCAGGGTCAAGCACGAACTGAATCCTGAACTGAAAACTTACCAAAAGCCTTTCTCTTCTCAAAGCAAAACGTGTGCGTCAGCAAATGTGTTTTGGAGTTTACTGTGAGAGTCTGTGTGTGTGTGAGTGTTTGAGTGTGTGAAGGTCACCACTAAAACATCTTCAAACATTATTTAATTAAGTATGGATTCATTATAGTTATGATTACCCAAAGCATAATAATCATTCATTTGATTAAAACACATTTATAATGAGTAAAATGGTAAAATGATTATTTAGCATTAATAAACAAAGGAAGCGTAAGCCTCTATTATGACTAGCTTTTCCATGGGAACACATCTTCTGGCCCTGCAGGTGTTCAGATGTTATGGTTTCTCCCAGACTCGCTGGCGTTCAGGTCTTAATCTGTGGGTGAAAGTTCTCAGCGACCCAGCTCTTGACCCAGCCGAGTCAAATGACCTTTGGCACAGAAAACCCATATTTCCTCACGTTGCACAGAGCAGCATGGTAGAAAGAATGCACGCTAAAGCTTGGGTCCACTTCACTAAATGTGATGGGTAACTTGGTGATGATGAAACCAGCGACAACGATCTAAGTGAGACATCCTCATCTTAATCTGCTCCGGTAGGTAAATAAAATGTTTAAGATAACATTAGCTTGATATGTTAGCTTCCGTTTCGCTAATGGTGCATTCGCCTTCTCCTCGGAACTCCGAATTTCTGACTAGAAGAACATGAACGCGCTCTAAAGTTTGGCTTCACTTTACTAAATGTGACGGGTGATTGGGTGAAGATGAAACCAGTGACAACGATATAAGTGTGAGGCATCATCGTTTTAATCTGCTCCAGCAGCTAAATAAACTGTTTAAGATCACGTTAGCTTGATATGTTAGCTTCCATTGTCACCATTGTTATCAGCTAATGGTGCGTTCGCTTTCTCCTCAGAAATTCTAACTTCCCAGTAGGAAAAATCAAATGAAAAAAGACGGCAAAACGAATGAAGATACACAGTAAATGTAGTTCACTGTAAAGATGTTTGCTTCAGTTTAATTATCAACTTATAAAACTACAAGGACAATGTTAAAATACAAACAGTTGAATGTTATTTATCGTGATATTTATCAAATATTGTTATATATTGAGAAAAATATATATTTAATTGTAAAAGAGAATTAAAATAATAAACACTCAAAAGTATCGAAAATTGGTACCGTTAAGTACCGGTATCGATTCCTAGGTACCGGGAATTAGTACCGGATCGATTCAAATGTCAAAGGTACCCATCCCTAGCCATGACTGACCGGGAGTTTGAGAAGACAGAACAGACAAAATAAGCAGATGAACTAGTAGTAGTAGTTTCTGTGTGAAAGACAATAAAAAGTCTAGTTCTACAGCAGCTTAACTACAGAGATAACCCCACCCCCACACGCCTTTCATCAACTGGGCTAACATCACTCAGAAAAGTGAAAATTGCAACTTCACATGTTATTTTTCACTTTTTCACTTTATTTTTCATGTGCAGGTTAAATGTGAAAATAATATTCTACCATTATTTCCTGCATTAACCACCAATAAAAACAGACAGGGAAATGATAGAATTAGAAAAGCACTCAGACCTACTGTCATGCTGACTTGGCAGAGATCGCTCTGTCAACTGTCTCCTCCTCATGCTGTCTCTTCTGCACAGTCAAAACATCAACATTACAAACCAAACAGTGGTAGAGTTGCATTGCTGTTAGCCAATCAGAAGTTAGATCTCTGTATATCAGCTAATAAGAGTCCTAATCTTGTCATATTCTGCTCAACTCTTCTCTGGCTAACTTCTACTTTCTGAAAAAGAAGTGCCAGAGCTTTCTTTTAACACAGAGATGTACTCACAAGGCATTTATTTATGGTAGAGACCAGTGATGTGCAGTCAGAGGAGGCAAGGGAGGCACTTCCTGTTTCAGTTAGTGTGTATGGTGCTGCACAGTGAGAACAGAGGCAGCTCTCCTTACCTCTAGAGGGCGCAGCGCTTGACACACTTGATACAGAGAGTTGGCACATGCACTCTGCCTGAATCAGTGTGTGTGGGACAGCTCCGTGAGAGCAGAGGCAGGCTTATCTCCGACTCTCCCCTCGCTTCTGCATGTATATTTGATCAGAAAACAGGTAAATTCTGCAATTTTGACCATAAATGTGAGGATATCTAAGAAAACTAATGTTTAGGGCAGTCACTGCATACACTGATTTTATAATAAATCATTAATAGAAATTTCCTTGTCAAAATTACAAGGGAGGCGTGCCTCCCCTGCCTCCATTGAAAAATATGTTTACAAAAATGAGTGAACTTTATTAGTGTCTGCCTCCTCATGGATTAAAGCTGGAAGCTGGTTCCACAGGTGAGGAGCCTGATAACTAAAAGATCTGCCTCTCATCCTACTTTCAGATATTCTGGAAACCACCAATAAATCTCCACTGAGCAGAGTCAGTGCCTGATTATTGTTGTATGAAAAGGATGATATTAAAGTCTGTTCTGGATTTAACACAGAGCCAATTTAGAGAAGCTAAACCATGACGGACACAATCAGAACTCTGGTTGCAGCATTTGGATTAGCTGGAGACTTTTAACTACATTTAATAAAGAGAGAATACAAAGAAAACAGCACAGTTGAAGACAGGGGACATTTTAATAAGTTGCTCCACGTCTCTAAAACATTTGAGAGAAATAATCAACTTTTTTTTCTGTTGGAACATGCCAACTCAAATGCAGGCTAAAGTTGTCCTTGTTTGAACTGTTTCACCATACCATACCATGCCATTCATAACATTTTTTTTTCTATAGCACATTTTAAAACAGCATTAAAGATGGCTAAAGTGCTGATCAGATACAAAACACAACAATGATTAAAATAGCATAAAAAGTCAGATACAATGATAAAATCAGTATTCAAAAGCAAGATAAAAGTAATTGGCCTCAAGAGTAGACCTAAAACGAGCTAGCAATGGGGTCCTCCTCACGTGCAGAGAAAGCTCATTCCAGAGTTTCTGGGTGGCATAAGAAAATGTTCACTCCCTACAGGATTTATAATGCACTTTGTGAGCAGTTAAGAGCAGGCAGTGTTGGGCAAGTTACTTCAGAACTGTAATGCATTATTTATTACTTGTTACCAGGCCCGGAGTGGCTAATCGGGAGGGTCTGGAGAATTCCCGGTGGGCCGCGCGATGTTTGGGCCGCATGGGCCGGTGCTCTCGTTTTTGTTTTTTATCATTTTATTTTTATTTTTTGGTGCCGGTGTTCAGTCATGGCACTGAGGCCGCCGGGCTGATCACATACGCTCCTCCCGGCTGTCTCTGGCTGCAGGCTGCAGCTCGTTTTTTTTTCTTTTTCGCCCGTATGCGCCTGTGCGCACCACGTGA